CGTTGCACGAATCGCCCGGAGGAACACATACACTGACGGAAAGAATTGTCCACATGTTTGGCAATTTTTTGAATTTCCACCGTTAAAGGGCATTTGAACATTAAGCCTTAATTGGAGGCATTACCCACTATATGCAGGCTAATCTAGGGAGACATTAAAATGCTACACATTTGATGAAACTACTATCGTTAACAGTAAACAGCAAACATAACCAAACACGGTGCATGTGGACAATTATTTCCAGGCGGAAGCAGCAACTTGAAAAACCCTTAAACTAGTACCTGGTCCACCGCCCTTTAGCCCTAATCACTGCTTTCACCCTCCTGGGCATGCTGTCGATCAAATTGGAGCACACCTCTGATGGGATCTTCTCCCACTCCTCTTGTACACGCTCCCACAGGTCCACCATACCAGTGGGAGGTGTCTCATGCTTTCCCAGCTCCCTTTTAAGATGAGCCCACAGATGCTCAATGGGGTTCAGATCAGGACTTCCTGCCGGCCACTCCAGGACCCCATACTCCTGCTCCTGAAGCCACTGCTGCACCACACGGGACTTATGCTTGGGGTCGTTATCATGCTGGAAGATCACAGCCGAGGGGGTTAGCTTGTAAAAGTCGATGGTTTTTTTCAGCTCGTCTTGCAAAATGCTCAGATACAGCGGCCCGTCCATCCGACCATCGATTTTGCACATGAAACCCGCCCCCTCAAACGTCATACATCCCCAGATCATCAAGCCGCCGCCCCCGTGTTTGACGGTTTGCTTGATATGGTGGTGTTGGAGAGTCGTACCTTCACGAACCCAGGCGTACGCGCGGCCGTCAGAGCCGAACCTACTAATCCTCGTCTCATCCGACCATATGACCCGTCGCCAATCATCTATGGTCCAATCCGCGTGGGCCCGTGCGAACGCCAGCCTATCGCGGATATTTTTCTTGGTGAGTCGCGGCTTCTTAGGCTGCTGAACTGCGATAAGGCCGCTGGATTTGAGCGCATTACGCACCGTCCTAGGATGCACCGTGATGCCGTGCTGGGATTCGACGATTTGGGCCGCATGCCTCGAGGTTTTCGCCTCGCCGCTAGTGATCGCCCTGACGATCCCACGACGAATTCTACTCGACAGTACGCGTGGACGACCAGCAGTGGGCATTGTAGGACGAACGTCCTCGGGACTAGTCTCTGAAATCGCCTTGAGCCCAACATCATGCACTGTACTTTTCCCAACGCCAACCTGTTTCGCGATTTGCCTCGTGCTGAACCCCCTACGCAACAGGGCCACGATCCGGGCGCGACGAGCCTCATCTATCGGTCTCATCTTGGCGTAGTCTACGCCTCGGGTATAAACTTTATTCTGACTACTCGACGATTGCGTTAGGAACTATGGAGAGAATGCTCTAGTCGAAAACGGATCTAGTCCGCTGCTTGGCCAAAACTGTCCGGATGCACTCACGCGACTGAAATCTTGGCCACGCTATTAGTGCGACCCATTCAGGTTGCAAACGTGTTACCCTATTGTAACTGGCACGCGTAACTTATTAGTCAGCAATGAACATTCAACGATACATCGGGTGAAAGCATTCAAATCATGTGTTGAACCTAAAATTGGACTTTATCCGGGCAATACTTTCCGTCGCTGTATGTTGTCCGCAAGAGCTGTCCAAGAACCAAGTGTTTCGCCCGGTGGGTTCGGCGTTGGCAACTGCAGCGTATGTTGGGTTGACCTGAAGTCCTTGTGAGTGTGGTGGTGACAGTTCTTCTTCGTCTGGAGCGTAAGTGGGCAGTGATCTGGGTGCGCAGTTGTCGATGTGTACCATGCAGTTGATGATGTTTGGTGTACCTTGTCCAGATGTGGAGGAGCGTCTCGGCGGGCTTTCTTGAATGGAAGCGACTTGTGGGTCTACTGGACGATAACCTCGTGGGCGTGTGCAGTTGACTTTGGAGTGTCCGGATGTTTGGTAGTTGTGGCAGAACGGCGGCACAATGGTGAGTCCTCTGTTGTCGCGTTGATCTTGTTTCCCGCGTCGGTTGTAGTTGTTTTCGTTCCTTCGTTGAGTGTAGAAGACTAATGGTTGCTGTTTCCTTGGTTGCCTTTCTTCGAACAGGTCCATCTCCTGTTGTTCAGCATGGAGCTCGGCGCATAGGTGCATCTCCGAGATTCGTCCATGGGCGCGAAGGAGCGAGCGGGTGGTTCTCCATTCTGGTCCGAGCCCAGCGAGGACAAGCGTCACGAAGCTTTCTTCAGTGATTGTTCCTCCGCACCGAAGCAGGCGGTCGCGGAGTGTCTGGCATCGACTCATATACTGCATCGCCTTTTCCCCGGTCTTCATCTGTATTGTTGTCAGCTGCTGCATGAGTCTGCTTTATGTCACGCTGTCGTTTGCTTGATAGAGACACTTGAGGTGATGCCACGCGAGTTCCGCGGAATTTCCATAGCTCCGATACGTTCTGATGCTTTGCTGTTCTTGTGGTGACAGGTTCCGCAGGAGGACTGTGTACGCCAGCAGCGACTGATACGTAAAAATTTCTTGCTCTTTCGCAGTGCCATTGCTTGGAAATGGCAGGGACCAAAGTATCCCAAGAGATGCGCAGCCTCCATCAGCAGCTCTAACTCAAAGCTCCAGGTAAAGAAGTCGTGTCCGTTGAACGGTGAGGATGTCTGCAGTTTGATCACGTGTGAAAATTGCGCCTGGAGACTAAGTATCTCGTTTGGTGTCTGTTGTGATGCAGCTGCTGTTGGTTGGGCACGGGGCGGCATGAACTCGAACGTCCCCGGTAAAGAGTGATAAGGCGCAAAGGTAGGCGCTTGATTGTGTCGCACGAACGATGAGTTGTCGAGGCTCATCGGCGCTAATCCCATGTTTCCTCCGTTGCTCTGTGTTGAATGCGCAGGTGTCCTTGTCTGCTGCTGCTGGTCGAAGTGCGACATGAAGCTGAAGAACCTTTCCATAAGGTTCGGGTCCACGCTTGAAGTGGGTGATGGATTCACCATTTCTAGTGTTCTTCCTGTTGTTTCTTGAGCAGCGCCGGTCTCGGTCTGCAGTCCTGAAGTGTGCAGTCCAGAATTGCCAGGTTGAGTGTCTTGGGCGCTGGGTGAGCCCGTAGAGGTTTTCTTGCCCTTGCTGTCCATGACTTGTAATCAATGAAGTCGTTGGTGTTCTGATTGTAGATAGAGTGTAGTTGCTGGGAGTTTGGTCTCTCACCAGCTCTCATACCATGTTGGGCTGAGAAAAAGCCCTTAGGATATTTCCAGATACTAAGTCCCAGTTGTAAAAGGAGACTTGAGTAGTGCAGCGGAAGTTGAGTAGTTGAACCCTTGTACTAGTATATGAGAACAAGTGATTGATTAAAGGAACAAGCATACAGCAATATATAGAAAGTAGGAGAGTAAAGCAGTTGTAGAATACAGTTGACAGAGCGGTTATCGAGTCGCACAGCGACTCGATTGTCGCTTCGGTTACCATCTTTGCAGTTGTAACTGTCAGTCGCAACCTCCAGTTGCGACCCTTCGAGTCCTTTCGTGTTCTTTGTCCATCCCCTCGTGTAACCTCCGTTGACTCGCGTACCCGTTACGACCTTCCTCGAGTGTGGTGTTACACTTCAGAAACGCTTAAGTTCTGAGATATTTCCAACAAATACATTTGTTGAAAAAATCAAAGGCCAACCGGCAGAATTCTAATAGATTCGTTGTATTGAAATCAATACAAAATTAAATGCGGTTCTGAGAGTACCTTGAAGTGTTTTTAAACATATTCGTTTCCCGAAAATAAACCTCCGTAGCTATCTATACATGCTTTTGTGTTCGGACGATTCGGGAATGACAAGAAGTTTATGGCTTGACTTTTTTTGGGGCCGTAAATGCGGTAGAGACAAAGCCGCCATTTTTATCATCGCGGGACGCGCTACACTCTGTAACAAAAGTATGTGCTTCGAAATAAAATCATGTTTTCGTGTTTCTCGACAAACAAATGTCCAACGAATTTCAATTTGGGCATTTTGTGTTTTTTTCACTCGAACTGCGCTGGGACCTCGGGAAAATTATTGCGCCAGCCACAATGGTGACGAAATCGGGCTGGCGCGGGCAGGAAACCGTTCCGAAACGGGCGAGGGTTATTTCTACTGACCATTCGTGGAACCTTTTTCCTGTAGTTTCTGACTAACGGTGGAACCCGACTGATGAAACATGTTGCGAACCCACTAATTCTGATTGTTTATATCGTGTCACTGACCGTACATGTTATCGAGACCCCTAATACTGAGCGCCGATGTATTTTCCCTGATAAAATCAGCCCTGATCGAGGCGTACTCGCTAGCAGTTTTGCTTGAAGGTAGTGTTTTGGGTTGCATAGTAATGAGATAGGAGCCATAAACTTACAATATTGCCCTATTTTGAAGGGGGGATCTCTTTCATTACATGAAATGAACTTGTTACTAAGTGAATATACTTTCTGTGATTCGAGTTTTCTCAGCTAACCTGTTTTCTGCACGCGGCACTAATCCAGCCCACGAAAATAGCCCCGCCTGACATCTCGGCGCTGAATAGCGCGCCTCGATTTGGGAGGTGTGATATGTTGGTCGGATGTCTTTTCATGTGAGCTGCCCTGACCGTTCGCAGTTGTTGGCCAACTCGAATATGAACTTTGTTAAATTGGCAATTCGTCGACTTGAAAACATGCATAACTATTTGTACAGTGCCACGGTTCAGGTTTGCTATTCGACGGCCGCCGTCATATTTAGGCGACTCCTGATGGTTTGTGTCATCCCGGCGCGGCTCCGTCAAGTTCCCCACAAAGGAGACCAATCCCGCCACAAGGCAAGACAACCTCGAGACAGGACAGCCTCCATTCCGTCAGGAAGCACTTCTTTGCTCGCACCACCCTACCCCACTCCACCTCACCTCATCCCACCCCTGGAAAAGCTAAGCTCTAGCGAAATCCGAGCTCGAGGGAAATCCGAGCTCAAGAGAAAACCAAGCCCGAGGCGACACCAACCTCGAGGGGATCCTTCCAGAAAGGAACAAAGCCCAGCAATAATTGCCGTGGAAAATATGCCTGTTAGTGGAAGCAAAGGAGCAACTTCAAGGATTATTGCTGCGCTGCTTATCACCCACAATTCCGTTGGAGCATAGGAAGATAAAGGTAACACAGGGGGGAAAGCTTCGAGCTGGGAGCTGACGTATCTCGTTCTCCAGCATATCTAAAACTCAAGGTCTTCGTATGTTTCTCGTAACCTGGCTGTCTCGGTTCGAAGCCCGTCCTGCATGCTCTCGCTGCCTCGCTCCAGCAGTATTTTAGAAATAGTTGACCGGCTTCCTTAGACCGGAATATCGCTGCATCTCTCCGTATCCAGGTGCTGCGCTGCTGGTAAAAGGCCCCTCGTCTCCCTCTCACTCAACTTACACTGCTGGTGTAAGGCCCCGTATCCAGGTGCTGCGCGACACGAAGCGAAAGCATCACTCACGGAAGGGGTAGTCCCGACGCTTAGGATTGAATTTCACATCGCCATTAGACAAGAAAGCAACATGCGAGCAGTTGCGTCGTTTGTGCTCTTAGCAACCCTTCTCGTTGTCGGCTCGCATGCAACAGCTGAAGCTCTCCAATCTTTAGGTGAGTTCCAGCGAATATATTTTCTAGGAACGTACCGTTTTCATTGTGCTCATTGTCTTTGTTTAGTGCTTCTCGGAATGATTCCTGCCTAAAGCCCGCGTCTCTTATTTACGTCAATTCCGAGCTTGGATCTGACTCTCTTAAAAAATTGTGCAGAGAATGAGCGGCCGGATCAACGAAGGATTCTGTCGCAGACCGCATCGGGTTACATCAAGAAGCCGACTCTGTTCGTTACCGCGAGCGGGAGCAATGCGGAGTCAACCATCCGAAGCGCGATAACTCTCGCAAACTCCAAAGTAAAACCATGCGTAGTACTACCTTTTCAGTAATATTAATGACGTTCACTAGTCTCCCTTCCGTCGTTCGTTCGGACGGACGTCTGACAGCAATTCTGACTGCCGCTCTGACTGACGTTGAAACTCCCTACCTATTTTCCGTTCCTGGCAGTCAACCACGGTTCAAGTGACCCTCAAGAGTGACATCACGCTTTCCAGGCAAGCATGATCCGCATCCGGAATCCGTAACATGATTTATTACGCGGAATCCGTAACATGATGTATTACGCGTAATGCCACCCAATACGCATATGACACCTAATACTCATTATTACGCCTGCCTTTATATAGAGCCTCAGCTGCCGGTTATGGCTCAAGCTCTGTTTGGTTGCCTTCCTCTTTCCTCCCGTCCTTCGTCGTTCTTCCCATCCATGTCCCACGTGCGCGGAGCAGTGGATTTCCTCCCATCGGTTTCGCTTCCGGAATTCTTCTCAAGGGCGACTGCGCGAACGGAAGATCCAAAGCGTAAGTGACGCACACTCCTCTGATTGTTCCGACTACATTCATTCGTCAACATTCTTTTTGAAATGCCGCTCGTATCCTTACTATTAGCTCTCTCACGCTGTCGTCAGTGGTTAAGCTGAGCTTGGTGGTTACGCTGTCGTTAGTGGCTACGCTGTCGTTAGTGCTTACGCTGTCGTTAGTGCTTACGCTGCCGTTAGTGCTTACGCTGTCGTTAGTGGTTACGCTGTCGTTAGTGGTTACGCTGTCGTCAGTGGTTACGCTGTCGTTAGTGGTTACGCTTTCGTTAGTGATTACGCTGTCGTTAGTGGTTACGCTGTCGTTAGTGGTTACGCTAAGCTTGGTGGTTTCGCCTCTCTGTCCCTCTTCCCTTACTCCCTTTCAGTTGTGTCATCGACGGTAACAGAAAGTTTCGCGTGTTCTCTGGTAACTTCGCGTGCGGCATTTCGCTGGAGAACCTGGTGGTCCAGCACGCGCTCAACGGCGTGCACGTGGGTGGCTGCCAGTTCGCTGCGCGCCGAGTCACGTTCCAATACAATATCGCGGACAAGGGCACAAGTGGCGGGGCGGTTTACAAGTGAGTATTGACGAGTGAACAGTTAGAACCTTGCTGCTATAACGTAACGCCTAAGCTAGCTGCGCGCCGAGGCACCTTCCAGCATAGCGTGGCGGACAAGAGCTGCACTGGAGGAGGGGCCGTTTCACAAGTGAGTGCTGCGAGCCAGGGAATAAGTTGAAACGACCGTGTCTGCGTACAAGTGCTCGAAGAAGCTGCGCGCCGAGTCACACTTGCACTGAACCAAGCAACTTTGCTCATGCATATCTCTCTCCCCTTACTGTCCTTTCTCTCCCCCTCCAGGTCTAGGGGCAGCTCGCCCACTCTACTGGTACGCCCCTGCAGTTCAACGCTTGCTTCTTCCTCAACAACACTGCACTTGGAGCCGGAGCATGTGCACCCATCAACTCACACGTCCCGCTCCATCATTGCCCTTTTCCGCGTGTCTCCTTCAACCACCCCCGTTAAAGCTCTAGGGACAGCTCGGCCACTACCGGCTCGCCCCTGCAGTTCACCACCTGCTTCTTGCTCAAGAATACCAATACCGCCCTGGGAACCAAGCCAACTGTGCACCCACCAGCTAACCTTTCCTTCCGCCATCCCACCTTTCCCCCTTCCATTCCCCATGCAGTTCCTGAGACAGTTTCCCAACATCAGGCTCACGCCTGCAGTTCACCACCTGCTTCTTCCTGGACCCTTCCCCCCTGAGAACCAGGCGACTATGCACTCACCAACGAACTTTCCCCCTTCCGCAATCCTCCCTTCCCTCCACCCTCCCCACTCCTGCTTGCCCCTTCCAGCTCTAGGGACAGCTCGCCCACTACCGGCTCCCCACTGCAGTTCACCACCTGCTTCTTCCTCAACAATACTGCTCTTGGCAATGGCGGCGCTATAAACGTGGGCAGAGATCCTGTGGGCGGGCCGGATGTGAAGATCGCTAAGTGCACTTTTAGTAAAAACTCGGCGGGGGGCAGTGGAGGGGCGATTTATTCAGAGGGGAGTGAGATTTACCTGCGGGACTCGACCTTTTCGCAGAACACAGCTGGTACGAATCAGGTTTCTCCAGATAGCTCAGAATTGTGCTGCTGGTAGGTGGTGAGACGAGTATCCAACCGACAAAGCATGCACCAGTTACCTGTGGGACTCGACCTTTTCACAGAACACTGCTGGTACGTAATGCGTACTTTCAGTTATCCCAGAACATTCCTGGTAGGTGGTGTGTACTGTCAGTTAGCCCAGAACACTGCAGGTAGGTAGCATTGGAGCATAGTCAGCTCCTAGAGGTGGTGCCATTTTCGCCATAAGCCTCTCCTTCACGTCTATCGGCTCTTGCGCACATGTCTCCCCTTCCTCATTCCATGTTCCCTTCCCTTTCCCCCCCCCCTCCCCGTCTCTCCTCCCACAATGCGTTTCCCCTTCAGCTTGCGGTGGTGGTGCCATCGAAACCAGGAGCACCTCCTTCACGTCCATTGGCACTCGGTTCGTCTTCCTCATTCCATGTATCTCCCCCCCTCCCTCCTCCCCCGCTTCCCCACACCTCTCCCTTTATATCCCCCAATGATACATCTTCCTTTCAGCTCGCGGCGGCGGTGCCATCCTCACCACAAGCCCCTCCCTCACGTCCATCGGAACGCGTTTCTCCAGTAATGCGGTGGTAACAGGGCGGGGCGGTGCGATATCCATCCAAGCATCCAAAGCCAGCGTCCAGTTCTGCAGGTCCAACTTCCGCAGAAACAGGGCGCCTGTGTTTCCGGTGTCGAATGACTTGAACGGGGGGACGAGTGATGGGACGGTGACAGTGTGCGGGAGCACGGGGCCGAGGCGAATCAGGAAGACAGCTGCATTGAAGGAGATGCAGAGCTGCAGGTAAGATCTCTCTTGCAGGTAGGGCCAAGGGCCCTTGTGCAGAAACAGGGCGCCTGTGTTCCCGGTGTCGAATGACTTGAACGGGGGGACGAGTGATGGGACGGTGACAGTGTGCGGGGGAGCACGGGGCCGAGGCGAATCAGGAAGACAGCTGCGTTGACAGAGAAGCAGAGCTGCAGGTAGACTTGCCTCCAGGCATGTTTCTCCTTGTGTGTTCCAAGGTCCCTTCAGAAACATGGCGCTTGTGTTCCTCCCTCCTCTGTCGCTCCCTTCCATGGTACCTGCGGCCCCATCCCATTGCTTGCCGCATGCTCGTCCTATCCTAATGTCCCGTGCCACCCTTGCAGTGGTTGCACTGGCTGCCCCAACGACTGCAACGGCCGTGGCACCTGTGCTCTAGACGGGGACCTGAATCCCTACTGCAAATGCCAGAACCAGTACGACCCTGCTACTGCCTGCACTGCTTGCAAGATTGGGTACACTCTCGAGTCCCGGTGCGCTGCCTGTGCCTCTGGGTTTTTTCCAGGGCAGAAGGGACGGTGCAGCGTGTGTGGCGGCATGGACAAGGTGGGTGGCAGTGGAAATAAGGTGGGTGGCTGTGACTTTAAGGTGGGTGGCTGTGACTATAGGCTGTGAATATAACGTGCGTGTTATTGTGAGACGAGGGCGCCATTTGGAAAGGTGTTTGTGTAGAAGGGTTCTTGAGACTCCGAAGTATCTTTATCATTAGAACAACTAGGCACGAAACATATGGGTAGCATGTCAGGATGGCCGAGTTGGTCTAAGGCGCCAGTTTCAGGTACTGGTCCGAAAGGGCATGGGTTCGAATCCCATTCCTGACAGTTTTATGCTTCTTGTTTGCTGCCAATACTTGCATTAATGCCTTACATGTGACCTTTTATGCTTCTTGTTTGCTGCCAATGCCTGCATTGATGCCTTACGTGTGGCCTTTTATGCTTCTTGTTTGCTGCTAATACCTGCATTAATGCCTTACATGTGGCCTTTTATGCTTCTTGTTTGCTGCCAATGCCTGCATTGATGCCTTACATGTGGCCTTTTATGCTTCTTGTTTGCTGCCAATGCCTGCATTAATGCCTTACGTGTGGCCTTTTATGCTTCTTGTTTGCTGCCAATACCTGCATTAATGCCTTACATGTGGCCTTTTATGCTTCTTGTTTGCTGCCAATGCCTGCATTAATGCCTTACGTGTGGCCTTTTATGCTTCTTGTTTGCTGTCAATGCCTGCATTAATGCCTTACGTGTGGCCTTTTATGCTTCTTGTTTGCTGCCAATACCTGCATTAATGCCTTACGTGTGGCCTTTTATGCTTCTTGTTTGCTGCCAATACCTGCATTAATGCCTTACATGTGGCCTTTTATGCTTCTTGTTTGCTGCCAATACCTGCATTAACGCCAGAGAGATCCCTGCTCCCTTCCCGTTCCTGCTCCGTTTTCCCATTCATCCCTCTGCATCTCCCCTTGGTTTACTCCACAGCGTGCATTGCATCTCCCCTTGGTTGACTCCACAGCGTGCAGATTCCAGGCTTAGTAGGGGGGCTCTCCCACCTTTCCATTTCCCTTGTCTAGTTCATTTCCCTTTCCCTTCTCCCTTGACCTCCCCATTCCCTCGTCTGTGCTCGGATTCAAAACTGACTTTTGGGCTCTCCAGCCTCAGCAATGCCACACAGCCAGCCTCACTTCTCTGTTACCTCCCCGCCCTTCCCTCTGCATGCTCTCTGGCCATCTGCTTTTCTTCTCCTTGACCCCCCTCTCCTTCCGCTGCCTCTGTGTCCTCCCCCCCTCTCCAACCTCCTCCCTTCATCTAACCCTCTACCTCTTCCCTCCATCCCTGCCTTCCCTTTTAAAAGAAGCTCCAAGACCTGGTGGGCGAGCTCTCAAACCTCCTCCCTTCATCCCCCCCCCCTGCTGTTTTTCCCTTCTACGAGCAGCTTTAAGACCTGGTGGGCGAGCTCTCCAACCTCCTCCCTTCATCTCTCCCTCTACCTCTACCTCCTCCCTTCATCCCCCCCCCCTGCTGCTTTTCCCTTCTACGAGCAGCTTTAAGACCTGGTGGGCGAGCTCTCCAACCTCCTCTCTTCATCTCTCCCTCTACCTCTACCTCCTCCCTCCATCCCCCCCTGCCTTTCCTTCTACGAGCAGATTCAAGACCTGGTGGGAGAACTTTCCAATCTCAACAATGCCACACAGGCAGCCTCGCCCAAGCGGTGCCAGCAGATGTGCCAGAGGGCCCAGGCACGGCCCAACCAGTACAAGAACTACTGCAACCTGTGGGCGTTTGTTGAGAACAGGTGAGAGCAACTTGTACAGCTGTATCGATTGCGACAGTGTGGCAAAACAGGTGGGGCCCGCACAGCCAGAGGGCTCAGGCGCGGTCCAACCAGTACAAGAACTACTGCAACCTGTGGGCGTTCGTGGAGAACAGGTGAGAGCAACAGAGCAACAATGTGTATAGCTGTAGCACTACGGCAGGTGGGCCCCACACTGACTGAGGGCCCAGGCACAGCCCCAGCATTACAAGGAACTACTGCAACCTGTGGGCGTTTGTTGAGAACAGGTGAGAGCTGAGGAGAGCTTGTTCAATTGCATTCAATAGAGTGAAACCCTTACAACGCGTTTTAGCAAGCTTCTGATGGGGAAAGGTTTCACACTGAACATGCCACTCATCCTTCGCATCTTATTCTCATTCTTCCTGCGCAGCTACAAGGTTCCATCCTGCCGAGGCAGCTGTCTTCTCTTCAATGATCAGTCCGAGTGTGGAGTGCGCAATGTGACGCGAGACGCTAGAAGGAATGTTGTTTACCAATTCATGGAGCCTAGCTTCTTGAACTGTGACTAGAAGGCACTAAGTACACCCGCACAACACCATACTCGAAGATAACCCTCAGACTGCATCTCATTTCCCTCCCCATCCTACCATTCCTTGCACCATGATGGAAGACTTAGGGTTTGCACCATTCAAGAAACCTAAGTTTCTTATGGTGCATTTTACAAGTTGCCCATAGTTTGTTGCAAGTTAATGTAGGTACTACAAGTGTACCTCTCGAGCTGGTTATGAATATTGACAGCTGGTAATGCGGTTGATAATGCTGAAAGAACGCCAAGCATTGCGAGCTTGTTGTCCAGATGCAAGGCTGGCAGGGCAACAGACAGAGGATACAGCGAACCGAGCGAGATCCAACCAATCAATCTCCTTCAAACAGGTTACGTTCACGACAGCGCAAAGCCTACATGCGGTGCTAAAATGCCTTCGTCATCCACTCAATTCACGTGTAACAAGTATGATTCTTCGCGCGCGGCAGCGCCTTAGGGCCTGCATTGAAGTGTCCGCCTCTTTCCCCACCCAACCGCAGTCAGTGTAACGGAGTGACTGGGGGGTAGTTGGGGTGGTCCGGGCTGGCCAGGAGAAAGTTGATGCAAGGCTAGTGTTGTCTTCGCTTGCATTCTTTTTCGTCTTCACTCATTTTCACTTGCAGTTTCACTCACTCACTGACTGACTTGACTACTGCTGGTAGCTCCCTGATAGCCATTACACCATTGTTCCGCTGACTCTGGTAGAAGACTCGTACTAGGAGGAGGGACGAGCTGTGACGTCAGCGATACTTCTTTTAAGACCTGATAGAATCCATTGATTATTTGGTCAAACAGTTATTTTAGCTGGCTTTGGCTGTGATTACGGTGACAGTGGTTTAGAGTCTAAAGGAAAATCGGAGCAGATTACGGTACTAGCTAAGCATTTCCAACATTTAATGTGCCTAGCGCCTAGCTTTTTATTCCAGCGAGTGAAGCGTATGGCTGAACATTTCAGCTTACAGTTGAGGTTGTAGGTCCGCCGTGGTAAACAAACCACTCCAACCAAACCCGATTCATCAATCCTAGCCAATTCTTTAGTAATATTAGTCACTTTTGCGCTCTTGCGCAATTGTCGTTTTCAGGTCCTAGGTCTACCGTCTAGACGCTCGCGGCTCAGCTTGAGTCTAAAATGGCAGAAGTTAAGTCTCAGGAGCTTGAACCCGATGGGGTGGATTCTAGGGTTATCGGAGACGACCGACCTGCACCGCACAGCAAACCTTCTTATGGCACGTTCCTGCGCGGGATGTGGCCGTTCAGTCACAGCGCCAGGTATCACTCCCACTACAGTCACACTCACGGCAATCACGCCATCACGCACACTCGCTCCCTGAAAGAATCAATTAAGCACCACCTTTCTCCTGACCTCAAATCATCCGAACCTACAACCGAACCTACAACTTCCGATCCTCTAACCGAACCTGGCACGCCAGAGCTAGAGCAAGCACGCCGTTCCCCGGGAAAACGAGGCTTTCTCGGCCTGCTGCAATCCCGATCCCGCCGAGACCGAACCTCATCCCATTCCTCGTCTCTAGGCTCGGAATCTAGCTGCAGGACAGGAGGGAAGTCTGTACCCGGACTTATGTCAGGCCGACGCAAGGTGGTGTCAAGGTCCTCCAGTGGGAAAGAGGCGGCAAGTGAAAAGGAGATTAAAACTATTTCTGGCGAAGAAATCAAATCTAACGCTGGCGATGGGGCTTCTGCTGGGGTGATTGGGGAAGCGACAGTGGCGAACGGATGCGATGGGGGAGAAGCGTCGCAGGCCATGTCGCACACGTCGCCGTCGCAGTCGCACACGTCGCCGTCACAGTCGCAGTCGTCGGATCTGCAGCTGGGGAACGCGCTGAAGAAGACGAACGTGAAGGTTCTGGACGATGACGAAGTTCGCCAGACGTTCGCAGGCCCTTCGCGAATGGAGGTGGACGAAGGGCCAAGGCACGAAGGGACTGGGGTTTCACAAGGCAATGACATGGAGGGGGAGGGGGAGGTGACCAGTGCGGGTTCTGTCAGCAGTCTAGTGCGAGAGGCGGAGAATCCTCCGGTTGAAGAGGTGGGGAAGAAAGCAGTGACAGATGCTGCTGGTGCTGCTGGTGCTGCTGGTGCTGCTGGTGCTGCTGGTGCTGCTGGTGCTGCTGCCGCGCCTGCTCCTGCCGCGCCTGCTCTTGCTGCTGTTCCACTGGCTGAGGCGAAGGCAATGGAGCATGGCATGCTGGAATTGACTATGAATGAAGGGCCAGCGCGCAGTGAAGGGACGATGAGTGAAGGGATGGTGAGTGGAGGGCCAGCAGCACGCATCAGCGGTGGCATGGCGGATGCTGATGGGTCTTCGCTTGGGCCGTCTGCCAGTGATGGGCCGTTGCACGTGATTGCTGCTGTTGCTCCTGCTGCTGCTGTTGCTGCAGATAGTGGTCCCGCGGTAGCGACACAGGAGGCGGGGGAGCAACAGGAGGGGGGGGTGGAGGCGGAGGAAGAGGAGGAGGAGGAGAGGGGAGGAAGAAAAGGGGAGGAGGGGGAAAAGGAGGAGGGAAGGGAGGGTGAGGAGGGGGAAGAGGAGGGAAGAGAGGGGGAGGAGGGGATAGAGGAGGAGACAGAGGGGATCGAGGAGGTGAGTGGAAGGGAGGAGGGGAGGGAGGAGGGGAGGGAGGAGGGGAGAGAGGAGGAAGGAGAGCTTGTTACAATGGGTAATGGGGTTTGTGTTGGGGAGGATGTATTCGTGGAGGACGGGATGAAGGAGGATCAATGTGCGGCAGAACAGACTGCTCGTGCTGCCACCTCTGCTGCTGCTGCTGCTGCTGCTCATGCTGCTGCTGCTGCTCATGCTGCATCCCAACCCACCTCACCGAAAACCCCCGTTTCTCTGGACGAGTGTCTACACCTCCTGATGAGTGTAGACGAAGGGGACATGGCGGCAGGTCTGGTAGCTGCAGCAAGCCACGTGGCGTGCGGAGACACGGACGCGGTGCATGATGTGTTTGACGCCCTGCCCTTCCATTTCGTTCGAACGCTGCTAGAAGACTCGGTGGAGACGAGTTCGGATGAGACAGCAGCACCGGCACCAACGCACGATTTAGAATCATCATCGTCATCAGCAGCAGCACCAGCACCAGCAGCAGCAGCAGTGTCCGTGCTTGTGGTGGTTACTCAGCAACCAGACCTGGCCTGTCTGCCTCCTGTGCTCCGTCTGCTGGCGCCCCTGGCGCAGATCATGCTTCATGGGTGAGTGAATGGTTGCGAAGGAAGGAAGGGGAGAGAGGTGAGTTCTGTGCTGTGTGTGCCTTGTGAGGAAAGTCAGTCAGGCGTTGACGCTACCTGGCCTGGCCTGCCTGCCTGCCTCCTGTGCTCCGTCTGCTTTCGCCTCTGAACCACCGCCTCCTCTGTCTCAAAAGTGACCTGCCTCTGCCTCTGGCGCAGATTGTGCTTCACGGGTGAGTCTTGAGACGTCTCAAGGCGTCTCAGCACTCAACTCCCCTCCCACCTCCCCTCCCCCTTCCCCCCCCTTCTTCTCTCCCCTAAACCACCAGGCGGACAGCTTCTCTCGTCCACGACGCCTGCCGCTGTGTGCTTGCCATCGGGCAAGGGTCAGAGGAGGGCGCTCGGGCGTGCAGGGAGCAAGGCGTGCTTGGGGTGGTCGCCCGCTCTCTTGCTGTAATTACAGGTATTGTGGCACGGGGGTTGGGAGCATGAGAATTTGAAGGTAGGGGGTAAGGACGGGCGCGTGAGGGTATGCATGGGGAGAGGGCATGCGTGGGGAGAGGGCATGCGTGGGGAGAGGGCATGCGTGGGGAGAGGGCATGCGTGGGGAGAGGGCATGTGTGGGGAGAGGGCATGCGTGCGGAGAGGGCATGCGTGCGGAGAGGGCATGCATGGGGAGAGGGCATGCGTGGGGAGAGGGCATGCGTGCGGAGAGGGCATGCGTGGGGAGAGGGCATGCGTGGGGAGAGGGCATGCGTGGGGAGAGGGCATGCGTGGGGAGAGGGCATGCGTGGGGAGAGGGCATGCGTGGGGAGAGGGCATGCGTGGGGAGAGGGCATGCGTGGGGAGAGGGCATGCGTGGGGAGAGGGCATGCGTGCGGAGAGGGCATGCGTGCGGAGAGGGCATGCGTGCGGAGAGGGCATGCATGGGGAGAGGGCATGCGTGGGGAGAGGGCATGCGTGCGGAGAGGGCATGCGTGCAGAGAGGGCATGCATGGGGAGAGGGCATGCGTGGGGAGAGGGCATGCGTGGGGAGAGGGCATGCGTGGGGAGAGGGCATGAGGGACACGAGCGAGGCATGAGGGACACGAGCGAGGGCGTGCAAGAAGCACGGCATGCTTCGGGTGGTCGCCCGCTCTGTTGGCCCATATGCTGCCATGTGTCCCCCCCAACTCCCTGTCTTCCCCGCCCCCTCCCCCCAACCCCCCCTCCTCCACCTCTTTCCCCCTGCAGTCGCTCCTTCCTCCCCCACTCCCCCCACTTCCCCTGCTTTGAGGCGCCTCAAAACTGTTGCTCCTTCCTCTCCCACTCCCCCCACTTCCCCTGCCTGCCCCTGCACGCAACAAGCTCTTCCTCTTTACCACTCATCTGTTCACCTGATTTTCTCCCTTTCGCTCCCTACCTTTCCCTCTACCACACCCCCCCCTCCCCGCTTTTCCTCCCTCCCCCTTCACTTCGATCGCTGTCCGCACTTCCCCCACTGCAACAGACTCGTCCTGCTCATCTGTTGCCATGCAACTGCTCAGCCTTCTTCTTCCCTCTGCATCTCCTCTCGACGTTTCAAAACACAAGGACTCGCTTGTTGCTGCAGTGAGTACCCCCCTCCTCATGCGTGTAACGTTTCTAACGCTTGTAGGGACGCTTAAAGAAATTGCTACATCAACATTCTCACCACCTGTTTTATGCACAACTTTTCCTCTTCTTTCCACCTTTTTTTTTCCAACAATGTATATATGTGTATATATATAATATATATGCATGTATATTATAACCTCCTTCAAATCTCTGATTCATTGTCTCGTTCCTGATTTGTGACCATGATTCCGTTACCATCCATTCCTAGGTCCCAGCCCTGGCAAGGCAGGTGGCATCAGGGGAAGGCAGCAGCAAGCACGAGGCGGTCACGCTGCTCCTTGCCTTGCTCTCAAGAGCACAGCGGGAAACTGGGGGTCCTTCATCGTTTGAGGTGCATCTAACCACAGCTGGGCAGGAGGCGTCATGTGGCGTGGCAGAGGGCCTGAAGGGCGTGGAGCCCGTGATTGCTGGCCGGGAGTGGGCGGCAGACCTTCGGGACGGCATTCAGGGCATTCTCTCCTCTTCTCCCACTGGTCAGTACTGCCCTCAAGCCTCAAGCCTCAAGCCTCAAGCCTCAAGCCTCAAGCCTCAAGCCTCAAGCCTCAAGCCTCAAGCCTCAAGCCTCAAGCCTCAAGCCTCAAGCCTCAAGCCTCAAGCCTCAAGCCTCAAGCCTCAAGCCTCAAGCCTCAAGCCTCAAGCCTCAAGCCTCAAGCCTCAAGCCTCAAGCCTCAAGCCTCAAGCCTCAAGCCTCAAGCCTCAAGCCTCAAGCCTCAAGCCTCAAGCCTCAAGCCTCCAGCCTCCAGCCTCGAGCCTCCAGCCTCGAGCCTCGAGCCTCGAGCCTCGAGCCTCAAGCCTCAAGCCTCAAGCCTCAAGGCTCAAGGCTCAAGGCTCAAGGTACCGTCTCCATGCGAGTCACCAGCACCGGCTCGGAAGAGCCTTGAGCCCATGACAGCTGGACGGGTGCGCGTGTGTGGGCGGCAGACCTTCGGGATAGCATTCGGGATAGCATTCGGGATAGCATTCGGGATAGCATTCGGGATTGCATTCAGAGCATTGGGAGCATTCTCGCCTCCTCTTCCACTGCTCAGTGCTGTCTTCTTGCCGTTGCCTTTCTTCCCATGCATGATCGAGTGATGTCAGCAAATTGTTTCCCACACCTGGCTGACTTGGCTGCCAACAGCTTGAAAAGTTTTTCTGCTGCGTTCTCTTCCCCTCCACTCTCTTCCCCTCCACTCTCTTCTCTGCTGCTCCCCTGCCCAGCATCGAGTGAGTGCCAGCAGGACGCTTTCAACCTGGCTCGCATGGTTACCAGCATTACCAACCTGGCTCGCATGGTTACCAGCATTACCAGCATACTCAAAGTCTTTCTCTCCCCTGCGCTATGCCTCCCTTTGCTTCTGCTCCACTCTTCCCCTGGCAGCTTCAGCTGCGTGCCAGCAGGACGCTTTCCACCTGGCTCACGTGGTTACCAGCATTCTTGGAGACGGCTGGCTGGCTGGGTGTTCTGGAAATACACCTGACAAATCTCCTGACTCTGTTGCTCCAGCAAACGTTCTGGCATACGGGTAAGACCTCTGAATCTCTGCGAGTGACCTTACAGCTACTGCCTAAGTTTCTATTTTCATAGGATTCGGCAGTCAACTCAGCGCAGGCAGACCCGGTTTTCATGCCACCAATATTGCTTCCCACCTCTCTAACAAAACGAGTCACTCCCCACCTTCGCTTCTCCCATCCCCTCTCACATCTCTCCTTTTCTCTCCGATGCTCCCTTTCGTTTCCTCCCAACCGACCAGTTTCCTCTTGGCTCTGCTGCAAACAACGAAGCAAGAGATCCCCTCTCTTCTCGACTCCCTGGCGCATTTGACTATTGAAACTGACCCCAAATCTGACCCCAAATCTGACCCCGAGACTGACCCTGAGACTGACCCCAATACTGAAACCAACTCTGACCCTGATCTAACACAGGGCAGCTTAGATGGCAAAAGTATGAGCAAGCTAACTGGCACCTCCACTAATGCTGACCAGAGCAAGCTTAATGCTGATGCTGCATGGGCCGCTCTAGGGGGAAATCTGGACCGATTTGGGCCTGGAAACGCTGGTTTTGAGGGAGGGGGAGGAGGAGGGGGAGGAGGAGGAGGTTTGGCGAGATCTGGGGGACTGGCTAGGCCGGGGGGTGGCTTAGGTAGATCTGGGGGAGGGGGGCTTATGAGAAGCGGAGGGCTAGGGGGGGAGGGGGGGGGGATTAGGGGTAGGGGGAGGGGGAGGCGAGGGTTTGGATCGAATGAATTCGATTGTTCCCACGAATGAGGACTGGCGGTCAGTGGTGAAAGATATGAAGGATGCGGTATGGGAACCACCTACTAACGCGGATGGGGAAGGAGGAGGAGGAGGGGGAGGGGAGGGTGGTCTAAGGGAGGTTAGTCTGGAGGAGTTTACTGCCATGGAGGAGGAGGGGGGAGGTGTGGAGGATGCCGGACCTCCGGACGAGGTTCGGCAGGCAAGGCAGCGGCTAGATCGGTGCTTCGGACTGGTGGAAAGGGTGGTGGGTCTGCTTAGGAAAGCTGCAGAGAATGCTGCAAATACTGGTACCGCTGAGGGAAATCGCGTGTCAGCTGATAATGCACTTACCCAACAGGATGGCAGGGGCGTCTGTGGCACCACTGAAGCAGCAGCAGCAGCAGCAGTGGCATCCTCTCTCAAGCATGTGAAGCTGTGTGTGCAGCTAGTGGACGGGACAATAAAGGACGTGCTTGTGTTCCTGCAGCTGGCCCAGCAGCACGACTGCTGGTGCGACGACTCGGTGCTGGCGTGTGTGCGGCTGATGGGGGCGTACCTGGCTGCTGCGCCCTCGGCCCACAGGAAACGGGCCGGGAGACTGCTGGGATTCATGCTGGGAGTGAAAGGGGAGCACGAGGAGAGGTAAGGACTGAAAAGGAGAGGTTTGCAAGGGGTTTGGGAGGGGTTTGGGAAGGGTGTGCAGTGAAGGACGTGCTTGTGTTTCTGCAGCTGGCCCAGCAGCGCGACTGCCTGCATTAAAGTGTTTCTCTTCCCCCTTCGTTCTCATTCCCTTCCTTCCAGGTCGCTCCTAGCGGTGCGCTACCTGCTGCCTGCTCTGCTGCCAATCACCAGTGAGCCACGTGGCTGCACGTCATTGGTCAAGAGAGGAGGCCATATTCATGTGAGTGAATCGTATCACCTAAGGCCCAGCGGCAGCACCTAAGGTTCACATCTACACTCAGCACCTAAGGTTAAGGAAGCCTATAAGCGGGACCACATCGCTCCAGTATGGTCGCTCCGCACATTATAGTGCTCCCTCGGTCGCGCCTTACTATAGATGCGCAACAGATTGTCAATTTTCAAACCCTGGATTCGAAAAATGCTTCAGCTCCCAGATCCCCCCCATGCATCCCCCCATGCATCCCCCCGCATGCATCCCCCCCTATGCATCCCCCCCTATGAATCCCCCCTATGCATCCCCCCCTATGCTTCCCCCCCTATGCATCCCCCCCTATGTATGCATCCCCCCCTATGCATCCCTCCAATGCATCCCCCCCCATCCATCCCTCCTATGCATCCCCCCCTATGCATCCCCCCCTATGCTTCCCCCCGTATGCATCCCCCCCCATGCATCCCCCCCATGCATCCCCCCCATGCATCCCTCCCTATGCATCCCCCCCTATGCATCCCTCCCTATGTATGCATCCCACCCTATGCATCCCCCCCAATGCATCCCCCCCTATGCATCCCTCCAATGCATCCCCCCCTATGCTTCCCCCCATATGCATTCCCACCCCATGCATCCCCCCCTATGCATCCCCCCTATGCATCCCCCCCTATGCTTCCCCCCCTATGCATTCCCACCCCATGCATCCCCCCCTATGCATCCCCCCCTATGCATCCCCCCTATGCATGGGGAAAGGACTCATAGGATTGCTATCTGTTGTGTATTCCCCTCCCTTCCTCCCCCCTTCACCAGCTCATAGACTACGTGGTGGAGGCAGCAGGCACCAACATGATGCATCAGCTGCGGTCATTGAGACGACACACGTGGAACTCCCCCCCCCCACACCCCTACCTCCCCCCCAATCCCACTGTCCCCCCCTCCCCCCAGCTCATAGACTACATGGTGGGGGTAGTTCGCACCAACATGGTGCACCAACTGTTGTCAGTGTTGGTGCACCTTCTGACATCTCGTTACGTGCACTCCCCTTTCCTTCACGTGTTATTCCCCCCTCCCCCCAGCTCATAGAGTACATGGTGGAGGCAGCACGCACCAACATGGTGCACCAGCTGCGGTCGGGGCCCGAGGGGCAGATGAGCCTCATGCAGGCTGCTGACGTCATCCTCAACGTCTTCGCAAGCGTATGTGCATGCTTATCGAGGCCTTGTTACATTGTGACATTGTTACATTGTTACATGGTGACATTGTTACATTGTTGCATCGTGACACAGTGGCATTGTTACATTGTTACACTGTTACATTGTTATGTTGTTGCATTGTGGCATTGTTACACTGTTACACTGTTGCATGGTAAGGCATTCTTAGAGGCACACCTCAGAACACCTCACTTCTCCCTCTGCCACCTCAATCATCCCTCCAACTCTCTTGGTTCCCCTTTCTCCATTTCTCCGTTTCTCCATTTCTCTCCTCCCTCTCAGCGCCACTGCATGCGAGTGCCTTTGGATCCGCATGACTTCGTGCCTCTACTTGCTGCCATGGCAGGATGGAGCAGCGTGAAAGGTGAGCAACGTGAAAGGTACGCGTAGATCGTCAGCACATGAGAGTGCCGCTGGATCCTCATGACTTCGTGCTGCTGTTAATCCCCATGGCAGTATGGGGCAGTGTGCAAGGTGGGCAGTGTGCAAGGTGGGCAGTGTGCAAGGTGGGCAGTGCGCAAGGTGGGCAGTGCGCAAGGTGGGCAGTGTCCAAGGTGGGCAGTGTGCAAGGTGGGCAGTGTGCAAGGTGGGCAGTGCGCAAGGTGGGCAGTGTGCAAGGTGGGCAGTGCGCAAGGTGGGCAGTGCGCAAGGTGGGCAGCGTCCAAGGTGGGCAGTGTGCAAGGTGGGCAGTGTGCAAGGTGGGCAGTGCGCAAGGTGGGCAGTGCGCAAGGTGGGCAGTGCGCAAGGTGGGCAGTGCGCAAGGTGGGCAGTGCGCAAGGTGGGCAGTGTGCAAGGTGGGCAGTGTGCAAGGTGGGCAGTGTGCAAGGCGGGCACAGAGCAGCCCTCTTGTGGAGCCACATGGCTTCATGACCTCAGGCCTAGCAGCATGTGTGCATACATGTCTGTTGATCATGCTTCTTTTTTCGCCCCTCTTCCCGTGCCGACTCCCCCAGGCAACGACCCCCGCACGGCCTACAAGACCCTAGCCCTAGCCGCATGCGTCAACGCATCTGTGCTGGCACTGTCCTGCGAAGACGTGATCAAGAAGGGCATCCACCCCTGCATTCTTCCATGCCTCAATCCTGCCCCACCCCCCACACCCCCCCAGGCAACGACCCCCGCACGACCTACAAGACCCTAGCTCTATCCGCATGCATCAACGCGTCTGTGCTGAGCTGATCATCCCTCTTTTTCACCCTGCTTCCCATTCTCACTCCCCCAGGCAACGACCCCCATACGACCTACAAACAAGACCCTAGCCTTAGCCGCATGCGTCAACGCATCTGTGCTGGCACTGTCCTGTGAAGACGTGATCAAGAAGGGCATCCACCCCTGCATTCTTCCATGCCTTAATCCCGCCCCAGCCCCCACGCCCCCCCAGGCAACGACCAACGCACGACCTACAAGTAGGTCTAGGGCTAGGGACCAACGCCCTAGTATCTGTCTTATCCACCCTCCGCTTCCCCGTCCATCTCCCTCCTCTCCAATCCTCCCGGCAATGACCCCCGCACGACCTACAAGACCCTAGCTTTAGCAGCATGCGTCAATGCACCTGTGCTGAGCTGATCATCCCTCGTTTTTCACCCCGCTTCCCGTGCCCACTCCCCCAGGCAACGACCCCCGCACAACCTACAAGACCTTAGCCCTAGCCGCATGCGTCAACGCGTCTGTGCTGGCACTGTCCTGTGAAGACGTGATGAAGAGGCTCGACCTGGGGGCCTACAAGAAGTGCCACTGCTCTATAGTAGTAACCCTTTGTCCTCCCTCTGTCTTCCCCCCGATCTCTCCCCTCCATCTCCCTCCTCACCACTCCCCCAGGCAACGACCCCCGCACGACCTACAAGACCCTAGCCCTAGCAGCATGCGTCAACGCGTCTGTGCTGGCACTGTCCTGTGAAGACGTGATCAAGAAGAGGCTCGACCTGGCAACCTACAAGAAGCTTCCCAACTCATTCGGGGTCATCGTTAAATTTCTCGAATTTGGCCACCGGGTGGGTTTTCTTGTTGCGTTGTTGTTGTGTTGTTGTTGTGTTGTTGTTGCGTTGTTGTTGCATTGTTGTTGCGTTGTTGTTGCGTTGTTGTTGCGTTGTTGTTGCGTTGTTGTTGCGTTGTTGTTGCGTTGTTGATGCTAAACTGGATGCATAGGGGGGGATGCATGTGACTCAAAAGTTGAATTTGGCCACCGGGTGGGTTTTCTTGTTGCTTCGGGTCAACTCAAAAGCAATTTCTAAAATCCGGCCACCTGGTGGTGGGTTTCTCTGGTTGCCTTATTGCTCTGCCCGTGCTTGGGCTGTTCATTCTGAAACTCCGAAGATAGGGCTTCTCATTTCTCTGCCCCCTAACCTCCCCTCCCATCCGTGGCCGTTGTGATAGAAGCGTAGTTTTGAGATGTCTCAAAACTATATTCTAAAACTCTGAAGAAAGGGCTTCTCATTTCTCTGCCCCCTAAACTCCCCTCCCATCCGTGGTCCTCTCTCTCCCTTCTGCTCTTACACTCGTTATCTGCCTATGGCTCCTTGCAGAATAGCGCATCGTTCAGTAGTGAGACCGAAATACGGGAGCTCTGGGACATCACTGTAGCATGTAAGTCATCCGTACTGTGTAATGCACCTGTGCTCTAAGTCCTGTGTGTCTTTGATGCGCCTTCAATAAAATCGCATGTGCACCTTACTCCTATGTGTCGTATAAAAGTGGAAATTTGTGTTTCATTCGTTAATATCAACCGTTAATAACCCCACCCCCTACCCCATCCTCTCCTGCTCCCCGCTCCTGTCACCACCAACACTTACCCTCGCTGTCTCCTGTCATCCGTCCCACTCTCCTCCCCCCACTCCTCCTCTTAAACCCCCACCTCCCTCTCCCTGCCAATCTCTCGCCTGCAGCATGCACGGAATGCATGCCCTTGTATCCACAGCTCAAGCGAGCAATGGTTAAGTCGGAGTGTATTTCTTGAGCCATCATGGTTGCACTCGCACTACCTCCTCCCCCTCTGTTCCCCCCCCCCCTCCCTCCCCGCAGCATGCACCGAGTGCCTGCCCTTGTGGCCGCAGCTCAAGCGGGCAATGGTCAAGTCGGAGTATTGGGGGAAGGTCTCTCGAAACAAGTGAGTGAAGTGGCTGGTCGTGTAAAAGCCGGGTGAGTATAAAGGGGTGAAATGAACGAGTGAGTGATGTGGCAGTTTCTGTAAAAGCAGTTGGGTGTATGTAAGGGGATTGCTGGCGATTGGTGGGCCTCTTCTCGCCTTTCGACTGGGTGAGTATAAAGGGGTGTTGTAATAAAGAGGTGAGTGATGCGGCAGTTTTTGTAAACCCACTTGGGTACATGTTAAGGGTTTGCTGGCGAGTGGTGGCCTTTCGTCCCACCACCCATTCCCCTCCCCTCCTTTCGGCCTTTCGACTCGCTCTCCGTTCGTCTTGGCTTCCCCCCGCCCTCCCCCCCTCCTGCTCCTCTTCTCCTTATCCATTCAGGCTCGTGACCCAGGAGCGCCTGAACCAGGTGTGCAAAGATGGCAGGCTAAGGAAGCTGCTGGCCGTGGTGGCATTCACCCCGTGAGTGAAGTCCTCGAATTTGCAGGGTGTTTTACAGAATTCTTTTAAGTCGACTCAACAGTCAACTCGGCGTTTTGAGAGTTTCTTGAAAACGCCCAGCTGTGGCATTCACGCGATGACATCCTCCGTGGACCAAGTTCATTATTTAGGACGAGATGATCCAATCCAATAGGTACGATGCGCTTTAGTATGGTTTCCTTCCAAAATGTAATCTAGCTATAGCGGGTAGCGTTATTTTGGCGCTGCTGTATAACACCAGCTGAGCTGACTGTACAGAACGCACAAGTCAGGTCGTACAGTACTGAAACCAATTGTACAAGTCACCTTGACCTATCAATATTACATTCGTTCTATATAGGCTTCATGGGCGTACAGTGCATTACACTGCAGCGAATGCAGGGCCCAGATGAAGACTTTCTTCAGGGCATTGAATCTTGCAAGGCAGTCCCTCCCCCAGGGTTCATGGCAGGAGCAGTGCATGCGTGCTAGGAACAAGAACCAAACAAAACACATGCACGCAAATGCTGCTTGAGAGCAGGGTTCTCTATTGGACAAGGCAGCCCCCGGGGTTTTCGGGACTGGAGCGGGGCACTGCGTTGCTCACAGGGGCGGCCTCCGCGCCCCGCCTACTCAGATCCGGCGGATGCATTTCTAAGCTGCCTTGAAACTTGCTCTATTGGACAAGGCAGCCCCCAGGGTTTTCGGGACTGGAGCGGGGCACGGCGTTGCTCACAGGAGCTGCCTCCACTCCCCGCCGGTTCAGCAGGCATCGGAACACGTGCAGCCGCCGCTCCGCCTCTCCGCTTGCTAGTGCGGCATCGGCGTATGCCCTGGGACTCCACATCCGCTCTGGGAAAGGGGAGGTGGCAGGGGAGGGGGGGCGGGGGGGAAGGGGGGAGGGGGGAAGAAGATGGGTTGGGAACGGCACAAGGGCATCGGAACACGTGCAGCCGCCGCTCCGCCTCTCCGCTTGCTAGAGCCACGTCAGCGTACGCCCTCAAAGGGAGGGCACATCCGCTCTGAGAAAGGGAGTTAAGGGAAGAAGGGAGAGCAGCTAGGGGAGGGGGGTTAGAGCGGGGTGGGGGTACATGGCATAAAAACACATGCAACCGCCACTTTTGAGTCGACTCAAAAACAAGGCATCGGAACACGTGCAAACGCCACTTCGCCTCTTCGCTTGCTAGTGCCACGTTGGCATCCGCCTGGGGGGGCTCCACTCTCGCTCTGAGAAAGGAGGTTAGGTGGAGAAGGGGGGACAGACAGCAGAAGGGAGTCAGAGGGGGATGGGGGTAGAAGTCACCGGAACACGTGCAAACGCAGCTCCGCCGCTCCCCCTCTGCGTTTTACAATCAGCTTGTGCCTTGCGACTCCCCTCTCTCCCCCCCCATGCACCCCTATTCAGCCTCTTCACTCACCAGCAGCAGCAGCGGCTCGCGGCCAGATAGTGGGCATGAAGTCAGAGGAGTCCACCTTCTCCCCCCACATGCACACCTCGCCCCCTTCCAATAGGTGCATCCCCCGCCCCGCCCCCCCCTCCTCCCCCATGCACCCGTAGTCAGCCTCTTCACCCACCAGCAGCAGCAGCAGCAGCTCGCAGCCAGATGGTGGGTATGAAGACTGAGGTGAGGAATCCCTCTCTGTCCGCGTTGATCTAAAAACAGCAAAGTTTCTCCCCTCTCTTAACTCACCAGCAGCAGCAGCAGCTCGCGGCCAAATAGTGGGCATGAAGTCAGAGGAGTCCACCTTCTCCCCCCACATGCACACCTCGCCCCCTTCCAATAGGCTCTCCGGTGAAACGTTTTGTGCTGGGTCCGTAGTGTACACTCTGTGCCAATCCTGCATAGGCACAATGCAAAGGCACAGGGAGAGGGAGAGATGCTCCAATATTGAGTTCTTCTTCCGTTCACTACAAGGTCCTTCTTCGGGTCCGTACTGTACAGTCTGTTCCAATCCTGCATATGCACAAGCAAAGGCAGAAAGAGAGGTGTTTCGTTATAAGCTACTCACCACGCCCATAGAGTCGAGGTACCATCCACCGTACACATTACTGAAGAGTATTTGGAAGCGTTTACATACTGTAGATCCTCCTTACTGCATGCCTCACTTTTAGGCCACTCACCACGTCCATAGAGTCGAGGTACCATCCACCGTACACATTGCTGAAGAGTAATTGGAAGCCTTGTTGCGCCATCCGTCCAATAATGTCAACACTTAACCTGGAAAAACGAGTGGTGGTAGAAAAAGAAGAAAAAAAAAACACACACACACACACACACATTTTTATGGTACAAGACCCTAAACCAGAGCACACCACTCAGAGCCACAAGGAGTTTGGGCAGCAAAACAAAACCAAGAACAAAGGGAGAAAAGGGCAATTGAGACGCGGATGTGTTTCAATTCGAGGCGCCTCAATGCGACGATAGAAAAGGACACTTCTGAAAGAGGTGGTTCGAGAGTACACCGCTTGGGTGCCACGGTCGTCCACGGCCTTTACGTGGCAGCAAGTGACAAGCCGATATGCTTCACTTGCAGGCGCCTCAATGCGACGCTACAAGGGGACAATTTTGAGAGATGGTGGTTCGAGAGAACACCGCTTGGGTGCCACGGTCTTTTCGTGGCAGCAAGTGAGACGCACATGTGCTTCACTTGCAGGCGCCTCAATGCAACGCTACAAGGGGAGCACTTACCAGTTTTGAAGAATGGTGGTTGTCTTGTTGAGATCCTCACTGAAACCCTGCCAAGACTCCTCCCTGTGCCCAGAGATAGGGCGATGGGCGACAGATAGGAGCAAGGGGAAAGAAAGCAGCATGAGGAGCGAGCATGGTGGTCGTCGTCTTATTGAGATCCTCACTGAAACCCTGCCAGGACTCCTCCCTGAGGGGCGGATAGGAGAGGTGGGTGGGATAGAAGCGATGGGTGGAATAGGAGAGGTGGGTTGGATAGGAGCACGGGGGACAGATGGGAGCGAGGGAGGAGATAGCAACATGGGGAGGAAGGAAGGATGGTGGTTGTCCTGTTGAGATCCTCACTGAAACTCTGCCAAGACTCCTCCCTGTGCCCAGAGGAGACACAGGGCCGACAGGGGGCAGATTGGGGGATGGGAGAAAGGGAGGAGAAAGCAGGGAGTATTCGTAGCTATGCTCATGAGAGGAATGGTGGTTGGTTGTCTTGTTGAGATCCTCACTGAAACTCCGGAAAGATCCCTCCCTGCGTGAGGAGTCTATTTTTGAGGCGCCTCAAAAATAGACTCCGGAAAGATCCCTCCCTGGGGGGCAGATAGGAGGAAGGGCGGCGGATAGGAGCATGGGGAACAGAGAGGAGCAGGGAGGAGAGAGCAACACAGAGAGGATGGAGGTGGTCCATTGAGATCCTCACTGAAACCCCGGAAAGATCCCTCCCTGGGGGGCAGAGATGAGGCGATGGGTACACATGGGAGCAAAGGAGGAGAGAGGAACATGAGGAGGGAGGGAGGATGGTGGTCGTCCGTTGAGATCCTCACTGAAACGCTGGAAAGATCCCTCCCTGGGCGGCAGACAGTAGGGAGGAAGACGGAGACGTGCAAAATCACGGTTACCACACCATGGTTACCAGACATACCAGACTATGGCCTTCTCCCATACCAGACTATCTCCAAGCTCCAGGGCAATGGCTCGCACCCTATTGGAGATGTAGAGCGGGGTCCAAGGAGACTAAGCATGGTTACCAACAGTACCACCAGGCTATGGTTACCACAGTGACACATCTACAGTTACCATACCACACCATGGTTACCAGATGTACCAGGCTATGGTTACCACAGTGACACATCTACAGTTACCATACCACACCATGGTTACCAGATGTACCAGGCTATGGTTACCACAGTGACACATCTACTGTTACCATACAGAACCATGGCTACCAGACATACCAGACTATGGTCTTCTCCCATCCAAGCTCCAGGGCAATGGCTCTGACCCTATTGGAAAAGTACCGGACGGCATCACTTGGCTGCATCCCATGCTGATTCATCCTGTGAGGGAGCACGATATGGGGGCAACTTTTGAGGCGCCTCACAAAGTCATAGAGTCGCACAAAGTCATAAAAAAAGGTCGGATAACACAGAATCACACTTGTCGCACAGTTAAGTTTTTTTCTAGCAGATTGCCAGCTGTTTACTTTAGCAGCAAATGGCAAGTCCTGTACAGTCACACAGTATGGACGCGTAGGACTCACTACTGGGAAATGACTTTTGAGTCGACTAAAAAATCACCTGTACAGTCACACAGCACGGACGCGTAGGACTCACCACTGGGAAATCCTTTCTGACTCCGCCCAGCAATCTGGTGTGGCGGGGGGGAGGGGAGGAGGGGGGCATTGTTGGAGAGACGTTTGAGACGACTCAGAAATCACCGCTGGGAAATCCTTTCTGAAGCCACCCAGCAGTCTGGTGCGGCGGGGGGGAGGGGGGGAGGCGGAGATGTATTGCCAGGGAGAGAAGGGAGAGAATGGGGGGTGGTGGTTGGACGAGGGGAAAGAGTGGGAAAGAGGGGGGAGGAAGGGGAGGGAGAGAGGGGGGAGGAAGGGGTGGGAGAGAGGGGGAGGGGGAGGGTGGGGGGGGCGAGGAGAAGCTAAAATATGGTTGTGTAACAATGAAAATACCACTGGAAAATTTAATTGTGAAGCCTCGTCTGAAAAATAGCATGCAGCCTCGTCCAAACCAAACTTTTTTGCTGCCTTGCTCCCTTGCGCCCCTCCCGCCTTCCCTCTCATTTCCGGCTATAGCGGACTCATTATTGACAATTGTCAGCAACTATTCCAACATATCCTCTTTTAAGGGATCCGACGCAGCCCTCGTCCAAACGCTCTCGCTGCCTTGCTCCCCTACGCCCCCACCCCCCCTTCTCCCTCTAATCTCCCTTTTCTCAGTCTCAAGCGGTCCTTTGTATTCATTAGGAGCCTGTGTACAGAGCTAGGCAAGTGGGCCGGGTACAAGCATGCATCCTAAACCCCTCCCCTCCCCCCTGTTAGCCTACGCTAGCTCCCCTGTGGGCTCCAAGACGACGAAGCAGTCCCCGAGGGACATGCCTTCGTCCGGCGCCCCAAGGACGGGCCCCTCGAGCGTGGAGGCTTCGTTCACCTTGCCGAGGTACGAGAGGGGCTGCCCGCGCTGGAGGGTGACCGACCACCGCTGCCGACACTGATTTGGCAGTTTCTCCCTCGTTTTGAGGCGCCTCAAAACTAGCTGCCAAAACTGATTTGGCAGTTTCTCCCTCGCCATCTCATCCCCCGTTTGTCACTCTCCCTCTCCATCTCTCTCCCCCGTTTCTCACTCTCTCCCTCTCCATCTCGCTCCCCTTCCCCTTACCTTCCTTCACCTCATCCCCTCCAATGTGTATCCGGCTGCCTGTGAACACTGACCGCAGATCTGCATGGGGGTAGAGGGGTTGGGGCGGAGGCACGCCAAGAGGAATCAAAGCGAGAGACGCAGTGTGAGAATTCCCTCCTCATGTGGATCCAGCTTCCTGTGAACACTGACCGCAGTCTGCAGGGGGGGAAGGGGGGAAGGGGGGAAGGGGTGAAAGGGGGAAGGGGTAGGGGAATTAGCGGGAAACAAGAAAGGTGAGAATCTACGCCTGTGAGAATTCCCTCCCCATGTGGATCCTGCTGCCTGTGAACACTGACCGCAGGTCTGCAGGGGGGAAGGGGGAATAAAGGGAAGAAGAGTGGAGAGGTTGAGAACTCCCTTCCTCAGTGGATCCTGCCGCCTGTGTGACGTGAACACTGACCGCAGGCCTGGAGGGGGGAATGAGGAATGAAGGGAAGGAGAGTGGAGAGGTTGAGAACTCCTTTCCTCAGTGGATCCTGCCGCCTGTGATGACGTGAACACTGACCGCAGGCCTGGAGGGGGGAACGAGGAATAAACGGGAAAGGAGGGGAAGGACGAGGAGAGATGCTGCTGTGAGACACTGAATGTGGCGACTGCAGTGAGATCTTGAAGGATAGAGATATAGGGGATATGGATATTGGAGATAGGGATATTGGAGATAGGGATATTGGGGATAGGGATATTGAGGATAGGGATATTGAGGATAGGGATATTGGGGATAGGGATATTGGGGATATGGATATTGGAGATAGGGATATTGGGGATAGGGATATTGGAGATAGGGATATTGGGGATAGGGATATTGAGGATAGGGATATTGAGGATAGGGATATTGGGGATAGGGATATTGGGGATAGGGATATTGGAGATAGGGATATTGGAGATAGGGATATTGAGGATAGGGATATTGAGGATAGGGATATTGGGGATATGGATATTGGGGATAGGGATATTGGGGATAGGGATATTGGAGATAGGGATATTGGGGATAGGGATATTGAGGATAGGGATATGGGTGATAGGGATGTAGGGGGTAGGGACTAAGGGGTTAGGGATATTGGGGTTAGGGATATTGGGGATAGGGATATTGGGGATAGGGATATTGTGGAAAGGGTTCACTTTTGACTCGTCTAAAAAAACACTGTATGTGACGACGCTGATGCGATCCTGAGGGATAGGGATGGAGGGGATAGGGATGTGGGGGATAAGGGTTTGGGGGATAGGGGTGTAGGAATAGGGATATCGGGGATAGAAATATACGGGATACGGGATATTAAGGGTGCCGTAAGCACAAGCCTTTAATCAGCGCATAGAATGTAAACTAGTAGAAGCGCCGAGGTGACTTTTGAGTCGACTCAAAAGTTAAACTCGTAGAAGCGCCGAGGTGACTTTGAGTCGACTCAAAAGTTAAACTCGTAGAAGCGCCGAGGTGACTTTTGAGTCGACTCAAAAGTTAAACTCGTAGAAGCGCCGAGGTGACTTTGAGTCGACTCAAAAGTTAAACCCGTAGAAGCGCCGAGGTGACTTTTGAGTCGACTCAAAAGTTAAACTCGTAGAAGCGCCGCTATGAAGCTCTGGATGTTTAAAGAGCTATTTCTGACGAAGGTGAACTCGTTGGAAACATCCAGAGGTGAAAAGCTTTACTTGCTTTTCTGGCATACCTGCCTGAAAAGGGCTCACTTGCTTGCATTGCGTACCTGTGAGCACGTACCACGTACCTGTGAGCACGTACCTAGGAGCACGTACCTGTGAGCACGGACCTGTGAGCACGTACCTGTGAGCACGCCCTTGATGAGCTCGAAGGTGAACTCATTGGAAACATCCAAGGGCTCCTTGCAGTCAGGGCTGGGGTACAGGACGGGGTAGCCCACTCCCCTGAAGGGAGGGAGGGGAATGGGGGGAAACATAGCGGTTGGGCAGTGCGCATGGGGAGCTGAAAGAGAGGCTCCTTGCAGTCAGGGCTGGGGTACAGGACGGGATAGCCCACTCCCCTGGAAGGAGCAAAACGAAGGGACGGGAAGTGATTGACTTAGAGGGAAACGATTTAGTTGCTACAGCAGTCTAGAGGCTCCTGGCAGCCAGGGCTGGCTGGGGTAGAGGACAGGGTAGCCCACTCCCCTGAGAGGAAGGAGGAGCAAAAAGTGGAGGGGAGAGATGGAGGGGTGCAGGTAGAGAGAGCCTGTTTGCCTAGAAAAACGCCTAGGGGCTACTTGCAGCCAGGCTGGGATAGAGGTGTATTTTGAGGTGGCTCAAACCTTTCAAGAGGAGGGGTGCAGTCCGGCTGGGATAAAGAACCGAGATATGTGACGGTTGATATAATCTAACAAACTTGACACAAGGTCGTACCATGAGGTGGCATGGGCGGGCGTGTCAATCTCAGGGATGACCACGATGCCGCGTGCTGCTGCATATCTGATGGGTGACGAGGGGTGGCGAGCGGTGGAGAGGGGTGGGTGGAGAGGAGTGGAGGAGAGTGCACACTGGTAAAAGGTATGTAGAAAAGAATAGCGCAGAGGGGTGCAAAGGGATGCAGCGCAGTGTGTTGGAAGGGGGGGGGGGCGCCGGGGGGGGGAGGGGGGGGGAGGGGGGGGAGGGTAGGCTTGAGCATGAACCCGACCCGACCCGACCCGACCCGACTTTGCCCTACCCGATGTCGGGTTCGGGTCGGGTCGGGTCGGGTCAAGTCGGGTCGGAGTTCAGGAAATGTCAACCCGACCCGTGCTTAATAGGTCGGGTTCTACCTAACCCGATTTCGGGTCGGGTCGGGTCGGGTTGGCATAGGGGCAGGGACGGGTAATAAGCCGACCCGACGGGTCACGTTTTATCGGTCGGGTCGGGTCGGGTCGGGTCGGGTACCCGAAGGTCGGGTCAACCTTCCGCAAATGTCGACCCGACCCGTCAAAAAGTCGGGTTCGGGTCGGGTTACCCGACCCGACCCGACCCGTTGCTCAAGCCTAGGGGAGGGGCACACCCCGAAGAGGCAACCCACCTGAAAATTCACCTGATGCTGTGTTTGACGACCTGGAGCGTGTATCTCTTCCTGGGCTCCCACAGGCGGCCAAAGTAAGGGACCCGTTAAATTCACCTGAATAAACACCTGAAGATTCACCTGACAACGTGTTTGGCGTCTTTAAGCGTGTATCTCTCTGCCAGGGAGAAAGCGCCCTCCCACAGGCGCGGGAAGGAGGGCGTCTCGATGGGGAAGGACTGTGCGTCCACTAGATGCCAGTGGCTGGAGGAAGGGGAGAGGGGAGGGGTAAAAAGCGGTGACAAGGGGTGAAAACCAGGGGAGGGGAGGAGAAAGCGCCCTCCCACAGGCGAGGGAAGGAGGGCGTCTCGATGGGGAAGGACTGTGCGTCCACCAGATGCCAGTGGCTGAAGGGGTGCAGAGGGTGGAGAGTAGAGATGGTTATATCGCATCGCATCGCGCGATATAATATCGCATATATCGCAAAAATGCGATAGCGATATTATATTTTCCAGAAAAAATATCGCGCGATGCGATGAACAGATACTAGATGATTCCAAAACGGGGGTGCTTGGGTTGGGTGGAATCGAGGGGGGCTGGATGATTTATACGCATGTGGTACAAGGGCACACGGCACATGGCAAATGGCACACGGCACATAGCACATGGCACATGGCACATGCATTCATCGCATCTCATCCCATCCCATCCCAACCCATCCCATCACTCACAGCACGTCAAAGCACGTCAAAGAACATGCATTGCAGAAGGTGGGTCAAACTTCCACTCACGGCACGTTCAGCTTGGCATAGGACATGGCGTCTAACCAGCACATGCGTCAAGCACCCTCGCTATTGGCCGAATGGCATACAGCACAGTGTGCACAAACCAGCACATGCATCAGGCACCCCATCCCATCCCATCCCATCCCATCCCATCCCCCCCCAGCACTCACAGCACGTTCATCTTGGCATAGGACATGGCGTCTAGCACCCTCTCGACCTCCACCACTGGAAGGAAATGGCGGGCCGTGTCTGGTCGATACAGAAACGGAGCAAGGCGGGGGGGAAGAGGGAGGGGAGGAAAGGAGGCGGACAAAGAGGGGGGAAAGCAAGGGGGCTGCGATTGAGATTTAGCTCTCTCTCAACCGGTCCTTTGGTATCAGGCTTATATCTCTCTCTATCTCCACCACTGGAAGGAAAAGGCGAGCTGTGTTTGCCCATGAGGAAGAGGAAAATCGAGGGGTTGAGAGAGGATGGAGGAGAGAGGGGGGGGGAGGAAGACAGCAAGGGGGGAGTGAGAACCTAAAATTCTTCCCACACAAGTTAGTCGAAATCTCTTGTCACCTATGACAATCGAACCCTCGTCTTACCTATCAGCAGTCCGCGGTGCTTGAAGCGAGGGGCGTCTTCCACCTTTAGAGGCACGCCGTGGATAGTCACAAGGCGAGAGGGGTAGTGGTAGCGACAGAGCTGGCTCAGCGTCTGTTGGAAAGAAAGAAGTAAGGGGGGAGGAGGTACGGAGGAGGAGGTACGGGGGAGGAGGTACGGGGGAGGAGGTACGGGGGAGGAGGTACGGGGGAGGAGGTACGGGGAAGGAGGTATGGGGGAGGAGGTACGGGGGAGGAGGTATGGGGGAGGAGGTACGGGGAAGGAGGTACGGGGGAGGAGGTACGGGGGAGGAGGTACGGGGAAGGAGGTACGGGGGAGGAGGTACGGGGGAGGAGGTACGGGGGAGGAGGTACGGGGGAGGAGGTACGGGTAGACATGATCAAAACGCGATTGCGATTTAAATCGCATCGCATGCAGGTGCGATGTTTAAAAAAGCGATGCGATTTTAAATCGCATCGCGCGATTTATTTTTCCAAAAAAAAAAAATCGCACATCGCACTTTACCCGCGATGTATTAATAAATCGCATGCGATATTTAATTAAATCGCAAAATGCGATTTTAAATCGCATCGCGTTTTAAAACAGAATTAAAAAACACCCCAAAAAAACAGAAAAAAACCATGGCTGCGGGGAAATTGACTCACGGGCAGTCGTAAGCTAGAGTGCAAATAACCAGTGTGGTTTCGTAGTGGGTTTCAGAGTGGGTTTCAGTGCAATATCGCGCGCGATTTTTTAAAAATCGCATATCGCATTTAAATCGCGTTTTTTAAGCGCGATTAAAATGCGATTTAAATTAAATCGCGCGATATTAATTCATCGCATCGCGCGATGATTTAAAAAAAAAAAAAAACATCGCCATCGCAAAAACGCGATTAAATGCGATGCGATGCGATTTTTTTTGCCCATGTCTAGGTACGGGGGAGGAGGTACGGGGGAGGAGGTACGGGGGAGGAGGTACGGGGGAGGAGGTACGGGGGAGGAGGTACGGGGAAGGAGGTACGGGGGAGGAGGTACGGGGGAGGAGGTACGGGGGAGGAGGTACGGGGGAGGAGGTACGGGGAAGGAGGTACGGGGAAGGAGGTACGGGGAAGGAGGTACGGGGGAGGAGGTATGGGGGAGGAGGTACGGGGGAGGAGGTATGGGGGAGGAGGTACGGGGGAGGAGGTACGGGGAAGGAGGTACGGGGGAGGAGGTATGGGGGAGGAGGTACGGGGGAGGAGGTACGGGGGCATGAGCAACTTTTGAATGGTAGACTGGGAGTGAAGGACAAAGAGGGTTGGTAACAGCGACGTAGGAAAAATGGCATTCGTTATATCTCCATATACTACTGAGCACATACATGCTTCAATGATTTACCTCTATATACTACAAAACAAACACACCTCTACATTAAGAGTAACTCATACCTTCACAAAGAGCTGACCCTTAGTGCCCCGAGAACCCCAACTGATGTGCTGCCGGCCTACCTCTTAATAAAAAACACCCCATGTGTGACCTGGCTCCTTACGTAGCTTACCCTACCCACATAATAATACCTACCTTTTTAATATCTTACCTCTTGCTGCCTACCTGATAATAGCTCTTACATCCTACTGAATCTTACCTCTACTGCCCTGACAACACTGACTGATGTGGTGCGGTGGCGTATCTCCTCAAAAGACTCATCTCCATGTATGGCGTTTTTTAGAATTGCAGGGTGTTTTTGAGAATTCTCAAAAACACCCTGCAAAATCATCTCCATGTATGGCTCCTCTCCCTGACGCCACCTGTGAGTCTATTTTTTAGGCGCCTCAAAAATAGACTCCTCTCCCTGACGCCACCTGCCTGCTTACTAGTATCCCCTCCCTGGAAAGCTAAGAGCCTACGTCTAGCGCTTTGAGAGCGGATCGTCAGACATCTTCCAGTGAGCGCGACTGAACTGACTGGTATCCCCTCCTTGGAATGCTAAGGGCCTACCTCTAGCGCTCTGAGAGTATCCCCTGTTTGGACAACAACTAAGAGCCTACCTCTAGCGCCCCGAGAGTATCCACTGTTTGGACAACTAAGAGCGTACCTCTAGCGCCCTGAGAGTATCCCCTGTTTGGACAACTAAGAGCCTACCTCTAGCGCCCTGAGAGCGCCGACTGATGTGTTGGCCTGGGGAAGAGCGGAGTGCGGACGTGATGGGGAGGGGGGGGGAAAGAGGGGCAACCGGGGCGGGGGGGGGGGAGAGAGGGAGGGGGAAGAGAGGGAGGGAAGAGGAGAATGTGTGAACCGAAGAGCAGAGGCGGTGGGAGGATCAGTGGTAGTTGCACTTGTGCGGTGGATCGAATGACAGCAAAAACAAGCACAAGTGCAACTGAACTGAACTCGCATTCAAGGCAAGGGGAGGTGGGTGGGAGTGGGGGGGTGTATGGACGCGAGAGGAAGGAGGACGGACGGCGGGCCTGAATCAGCGCTGTGCTTGGATCACACTCTGGATCACCCTGGTCGCCAGGAGGGAGTGCGTAGCTCTCATCCACCCCTACATCCACCTGCTCCTCTTCCCACCCTCTCCGTCCACTCACATCCCCTGCAGCCCCGCATTAGTGATTTTTGAGTCGACTCAAAAATCACTTTTTGAGTCGACTCAAACATCCACCTGCTCCTCTTCCCACCCTCTCCGTCCACTCACATCCCCTGCAGCCCCGCATTAGTGATTTTTGAGTCGACTCAAACATCCACCTGCTCCTCTTCCCACCCTCTCCGTCCACTCACATCCCCTGCAGCCCCGCATTAGTAATTTTTGAGTCGACTCAAACATCCACCTGCTCCTCTTCCCACCCTCTCCGTCCACTCACATCCCCTGCAGCCCCGCATTAGAGATTTTTGAGTCGATTCAAACATCCACCTGCTCCTCTTCCCACCCTCTCCGTCCACTCACATCCCCTGCAGCCCCGCATTAGTGATTTTTGAGTCGACTCAAACATCCACCTGCTCCTCTTCCCACCCTCTCCGTCCACTCACATCCCCTGCAGCCCTGCATTAGAGATTTTTGAGTCGATTCAAACATCCACCTGCTCCTCTTCCCACCCTCTCCGTCCACTCACATCCCCTGCAGCCCCGCATTAGTGATTTTTGAGTCGATTCAAACATCCACCTGCTCCTCTTCCCACCCTCTCCGTCCACTCACATCCCCTGCAGCCCCGCATTAGTGATTTTTGAGTCGACTCAAACATCCACCTGCTCCTCTTCCCATCCTCTCCGTCCACTCACATCCCCTGCAGCCCCGCATTAGTGATTTTTGAGTCGACTCAAACATCCACCTGCTCCTCTTCCCACCCTCTCCGTCCACTCACATCCCCTGCAGCCCCGCATTAGTGATTTTTGAGTCGACTCAAACATCCACCTGCTCCTCTTCCCACCCTCTCCGTCCACTCACATCCCCTGCAGCCCCGCATTAGAGATTTTTGAGTCGATTCAAACATCCACCTGCTCCTCTTCCCACCCTCTCCGTCCACTCACATCCCCTGCAGCCCCGCATTAGTGATTTTTGAGTCGATTCAAACATCCACCTGCTCCTCTTCCCACCCTCTCCGTCCACTCACATCCCCTGCAGCCCCGCATTAGAGATTTTTGAGTCGATTCAAACATCCACCTGCTCCTCTTCCCACCCTCTCCGTCCACTCACATCCCCTGCAGCCCCGCATTAGTGATTTTTGAGTCGACTCAAACATCCACCTGCTCCTCTTCCCACCCTCTCCGTCCACTCACATCCCCTGCAGCCCCGCATTAGAGATTTTTGAGTCGACTCAAACATCCACCTGCTCCTCTTCCCACCCTCTCCGTCCACTCACATCCCCTGCAGCCCCGCATTAGTGATTTTTGAGTCGACTCAAACATCCACCTGCTCCTCTTCCCACCCTCTCCGTCCACTCACATCCCCTGCAGCCCCGCATTAGAGATTTTTGAGTCGATTCAAACATCCACCTGCTCCTCTTCCCACCCTCTCCGTCCACTCACATCCCCTGCAGCCCCGCATTAGTGATTTTTGAGTCGATTCAAACATCCACCTGCTCCTCTTCCCACCCTCTCCGTCCACTCACATCCCCTGCAGCCCCGCATTAGTGATTTTTGAGTCGACTCAAACATCCACCTGCTCCTCTTCCCACCCTCTCCGTCCACTCACATCCCCTGCAGCCCCGCATTAGAGATTTTTGAGTCGATTCAAACATCCACCTGCTCCTCTTCCCACCCTCTCCGTCCACTCACATCCCCTGCAGCCCCGCATTAGTGATTTTTGAGTCGATTCAAACATCCACCTGCTCCTCTTCCCACCCTCTCCGTCCACTCACATCCCCTGCAGCCCCGCATTAGTGATTTTTGAGTCGACTCAAACATCCACCTGCTCCTCTTCCCATCCTCTCCGTCCACTCACATCCCCTGCAGCCCCGCATTAGTGATTTTTGAGTCGACTCAAACATCCACCTGCTCCTCTTCCCATCCCTCTCCATCCACATCCCCTGCCCCCCCCCCCCTCACCATCCCCTGCAGCCCCGCATTAGTGATTTTTGAGTCGACTCAAACATCCACCTGCTCCTCTTCCCATCCTCTCCGTCCACTCACATCCCCTGCAGCCCCGCATTAGTGATTTTTGAGTCGACTCAAACATCCACCTGCTCCTCTTCCCACCCTCTCCGTCCACTCACATCCCCTGCAGCCCCGCATTAGTGATTTTTGAGTCGATTCAAACATCCACCTTCTCCTCTTCCCACCCTCTCCGTCTACTCACATCCCCTGCAGCCCCGCATTAGAGGGACGCACCTGAAAGAGCGCTCTGCCTAGTTCGACTTGGTCGCCGAGCGCGAGAGCGCAGCTCTCATCCACCCCTACATCCAGCTGCTGGACTGCCCACCCTCTCCTTCCACTCACAATCCCTGCGGCCGGCCCCCAGAGAGGGACGTACCTGAATTACAGCCGTGCCTGGTTCGCCTCGGTCGCCGAGCGAGAGTTTGTAGCTCTCATCCACCCCAATATCCAGCTGCTCCTCAGGTCGCGCAATTCGCACGTCCACTCGCTCTATCACCACCACCGTCGCCGCGCTCCCCCTCTGCGACGTCGCACGCGACGAGAACGACGACGCGTGCGAGTCGTCGACCTCGGCGTAGTCGTCGCCATACTCGTGCGCGAAAATAACGCGATGGTAACGGTCGTACGATTTCGTTACTAGGGCTCGAGCGGAATCCTCGACGGCCGCTGAGGCGGCCTTGCCAAACGAGACGGTCAGCCGGCTAAACGGGCTGAAAATTGCCGGCCAGGCGGCGTCTTTTCCTGTGGACGACGTCAGCTGACGTGGCATGGGCCAGATCCGCATCTTCGGGTCTAATAGACCCTGATTTTTCGCAGCCAATAGATCGTCATCGCCGTCATTCGCTCCGCGTTTCACGAAAGCGTCAAGCCGCTGCTCCCATTCGTCCATTCGTCGAGTTAACTCGGAATCGCCGGAAAGTCCGCCGTCATTTCCGGACGAGGAAACTGAGTCGAGAAGCGGCAAAGATTCGGGGGCAAAGAAGCTGTGCGGGATTAGGAGAACAATAAGCACGCAGAGGAAGAGGAGGAGGAGGAAAAGAAGGCCCGCGTGTGGGGTGGAGAAGGACGACGCAGAGAGTGAGAAACTTTTAGAAGTAGCCGTTGATTTTGGCCCTGATTCCGGTCGGGAATCGATGAACGGCTGAGATTCTACGATCTCGACGTGGCCGTTCGGCATTGGTCGAGAGTCGTTGACAGCGACCTCTTCGTCGGTCCGAGTAGAACTAGTGTCAGCCATGTCGGCGACGACGCTCTACTACAGTGATACTACGGTAGTACTACGGTAGGAGCTCCTTGCACTAAAGAGCTTCGTCATCGCTTCATAAGTACTAAACGGAAATGCGAGGTTCGAAGGAAGACCGGATACTGTACTGTGAAAAAGGAATTTCTGGCAGTTGAATTGGAACTTCATGGGAGGAGAATATTCTTGGTTGAGCAGCATATTTGACTTGGCCGGATGGCTGAGGGTTCACCTTAGTACGGTTGAGTTCGGTTCGTGCTATTTTGAAAATGTTTTTTTCGATCATAGAACGGTAGGTATTGGTTACGCCTACGGGCGCGTCCTGAGTGCCAGTTTTGGAAGAGTTATCGTTCTGAATATCACTATAACGCACAGACCACGACTCAAAAGTGCCCAACCGAGCTGCACCAGAAATCAACAAGGATTTTGTGCTCTTCCCTCACCCTCCAACTGGAGCGGTGTGGAAGGCTGACATGTGGTACAAACAGAACAAATCAAGGTTCTGTAAGGTATTGTGAATTGATTTCACGATGTCCGACATTGATTGGACGACAAATTGCTGCACCTCCCCGCCAATGTCGTACCGCCAGCGCCAAGCCCCGTCCGGTCGCATATGCCCTCTCCCCTCTGCGCAAAACCCGCTCCCCTCCCTACCTACCGCCCGTGGCTCCCCCCCTCCTTCCCGGAGGGGGTGCTTGTGCAGTACAGCTGTAGCTTTCGCAGAACGGAATTTTCGTGGGGAGTTGATGCGCGATTTTGCGCGAACGTGAGTTGTGTGGCTAAGGTTACACAAGCTAGCTTGTCGCTGGAATTTTGTTCGCAAGTGGGCTTTCGTGTGAGGCAAGTAGGTTACCCAAACCAGGCCTCTTGCGAACAGGGTAATTACCCTAAATGTCGAGAAATCAAGAGTAGCTTTTCAATTGAGTCCGTTTTTTTACAGTGCGATTTTTTCGGAATCCGTCCAACTTACGGAAACAATTTCGCGCGATTCCCTAGCCTAACGAGTAACCTTTTTTTTTTCGAATCCGTACGGGCTATACTTGTAGCAGGGCAATCTGTAGGGGGGAGCGACCTCCCCACTATCCCCCCCCCCCCCCCCTCCTCCCCCCCCCCCCCCCCCCTCCCCCCCACGCCCCCACCCCGCCCAACCCCGGCTTTGATCACTTGCCAGCCGAATTGTAGCGGCCGATTCCTTTCGGTAACGGGTTTTTTTGGGGGAATTCCGTCTGGGTGAGGGTGGATTGGGTTACCAACCCGAGCCACATCAAACTGGGCCCAGTTTGATGGTCAGCCTTGCTAATTTGGGACCTGGGCTTTAACGGGTGATCCTGAGGCGATTCCGTCCCCTTCCGGAATACCCTGGGGCTTAGCGAGAGGCCTGACCCAAACCGAACCAGAGTGGCAAGCGCGACGCGCAATCGCATTTGGTTCGGCATGGCATGGACGAATGTCCGGATTTGATTGGTAGAAAATAGCTTCTCCAAATCCCCTATCGGTGTCGCCGAGGTTTACTCTATCGCGAACCTCGGGGTTTACAGAATAAGAATCCGCCTTGGGAATTCACTCCCTCAATTGACACACTCTAGGCAAACTGAAATAGTAACTCCATGATTCAAACCTCAAACCCCGTGTTCCCCGTAACTCCCCGCATTCCCCGCCGTCCCCGCTCCTCAGTTAGCAAAACTCACCATCGTTACCTCTCCTAGCAGTTTTCCTTCTCAGAGCGTCGTCAGGTAGTGCGCAGCATCCCTCGGTCATACCCCACCGCCCACTATTCCTCCTCGTTCAATCCCTCGCATAAGCTAAGATGTCGCAAGGAGCGGAATCTCACTCCGTGCCCAACTCCCCTAACCCAACCGCGCACGGGAACTATCAAAATGGAGATTTCGAGTCCCACTTCCTGCTTCCCGAATCCGAGTTGCTGCACTCGCTTCCCGAGGATATTCCGCTGGAACACCTAAGAAAGTCTTTTAGCGTCGACACTTTACTAACAGATTTTCATCGCGCTGGGCTGCATTCCGCGAGCCCTTTCACTCCGGGCCAAGCAGTTGCTGCATCAGCTGCCGACGGGAAAACGGTAGACCAGGGAACGTACCGAGCGGAAGCTAGCGGCAGAACATTCTCTGAAATATCTGAAATATCTGAAATATCTCGAGAGCACGGTCCGGAAGCTTCCATGGCGGCAGCGCCTGCAACGGTAGCGGTGGCGCCGCCGCCTCTCTCGGAGTCCATGATTCTCGGACCAGGGTTCTCTATGCCGTTCGCGAACAGCGACGTCGCGAACGGTTTCGCGAAAGGCGAGAGTGCAAGGCTCGCACAAGCGGAGTTCGCGAACAGCTTCTACGAATCGGGAAAGAAAGCCAGCCACAAATCCTCCGCTGGTTCCGCTGTCGCCGCGTCTCCGTCTGCTGACGTGGCTACTGCTGACGTGGCCCGAATATCCGCGCAACGAGACGCAGTTTTCCGGGGGTTTGAGATTACAGAGCCGGCGAGAGACGACAAGGAGACGGGCGAGAAGGACAAGTACATGACGTCCATTCTGGACGCGTACCAGAAGCTGTTGGAGGAGAGAAGCAAATACCACTTTGGTGAGTTGCGGAGCTGCGGGGTGCTTGTGTGAGGCTCCTTGAAAGCAAGGAGACGGGCGAGAAGGACAAGTACATGGCGTCGATTCTGGACGCGTACCAGAAGCTGCTGGAGGAGAGAAGCAAATACCACTTTGGTAAGTTGGTAAGGAGCTGGTGTTGGGGAGGTGCTGGTCTGTTTGCGAGATGCTTTAGAAACGAGGAGACGGGCGAGAAGGAGGCGAGGAGGACAAATGCATGGCGTCCATTCTGGACGCTTACCAGAAGCTGTTTGAGGAGAGAAGCAAATACCACTTTTGTGAGTTTGGGAGCTGATGGATGTTGAGGAGGACAAGCAAATGGCGAATGTTCTTTACCCAAGGCTCTTTGGAGTCATGTTGTTTGGGGATAGGGTGTCAAAACGCCATACCTTCCATATGTTGCATTTTTTGCATATCTTCCATATGTTGCATTTTTTGCATATCTTCCATATGTTGCATTTTTTGCATATCTTCCATATTCTCTGTATCGCCCACTGTTGCCTTTCCCTCTTTAGGCTACCCTTACAACCTGGACTTTGACTACGGGGCCTTGGCTGGTCTGCAGCACTTCTCTATAAACAATCTCGGGGATCCCTTTATCGAGAGCAACTACGGCGTGCACTCCCGCCCGTTCGAGGTATTTCTGTTCTCAATCCGCAGAACGCTGGTTATACCCCTAGCCTGGTTTTGAGGCGCCTCAGAACTATCGAAAGCAACTACGGCGTGCACTCGCGCCCGTTCGAGGTATTTCTGAAGAGGGCTAAAGAGTGGCCTAAAGAGTAGCCTAAAGAGTAGCCTGTGATCGGGAGGGCTAGGTGTTCAAGCGGGGTATTTCTGAATCTGCAAAACCCCGCTTGAACACCTAGCCTTCCCGATCACAGGGGAGCGTATTTTCTGCCCACTCTTACCCCTCATCAACCCTCCCACCCCTCATCACCCCTCATCACCCCCCTATTCAGCCTTCCTTCCCATGCCAGGTGGGGGTGCTCAACTGGTTTGCCCGCCTGTGGGACATCGACGAGGGCGACTACTCAGCCACCCCCCTCTGCCTGTCGTTGTACTCCACCTCTCTTTACCCCTGTTCGCCTCTCTTCACCGCTCTTTTATCCCTCCCTATGCCAGGTGGGGGTGCTCAACTGGTTCGCCCGCCTGTGGGACATCGACGAGGGCGACTATTGGGGCTACATCACCAACTGCGGCACAGAGGGCAACCTGCACGGCATTCTCGTTGGGTATGCTCGCCCCTCCGCACCCCTCTCCGCCCCTCCTTGTACCTCTTCACCCTACTGCTCATCACCAACTGTGGCATTCTCATTGGGTACGTGACACGTGTAGCCCAAATGCACCGCACTTCACCCCTCTTCCTCTTCACCCTTCTGCCCATCACCATCTGCGGCACAGAGGGCAGCCTGCACGGCTTCTAAAAAATAAAATACCCTGCTTTCTCGTTGGTGCGTTTCTTGTTTCCACATGTTCACCCCTCGTAGGTTTCCTCAGCAGCAAGCTGTGAGGGTGACTTTTGAGGCGCCTCAAAAGTCAAGCTGTGAGGGTGACTTTTGAGGCGCCTCAAAAGTCAAGCTGTGAGGGTGCATAGGGGGTATCGCATGCACAGAGACCCCTTTTCTCTATCGCACAGAGACCCCTTTTCTCTATCGCACAGAGACCCCTTTTCTCTATCGCACAGAGACCCCTTTTCTCTATCGCACAGAGACCCCTTTTCTCTATCGCACAGAGACCCCTTTCTCTATCGCACAGAGACCCCTTTTCTCTATCGCACAGAGACCCCTTTTCTCTATCGCACAGAGACCCCTTTTCTCTATCGCACAGAGACCCCTTTTCTCTATCGCACAGAGACCCCTTTTCTCTATCGCACAGAGACCCCTTTTCTCTATCGCACAGAGACCCTTTTCTCTATCGCACAGAGACCCCTTTTCTCTATCGCACAGAGACCCCTTTTCTCTATCGCACAGAGACCCCTTTTCTCTATCGCACAGAGACCCCTTTTCTCTATCGCACAGAGACCCCTTTTCTCTATCGCACAGAGACCCCTTTTCTCTATCGCACAGAGACCCCTTTTCTCTATCGCACAGAGACCCCTTTTCTCTATTGCACAGAGACCCCTTTTCTCTATCGCACAGAGACCCTTTTCTCTATCGCACAGAGAGACTCCTTTTCTTCTCTTCTTTCTTCTTTCTTGCATTTCCGCTGGCCCGTTTGTCTGTTCCTCCCCTTTCCCCGGCGGGAGGTCCTACCAGTCGGGGTGGTGTATGCGTGTAGCCAGTCGCACTATTTGGTATTTGTTCAACGCAGCAGCACGAATGTGCTGCATGGAGTGTGAGAGGGTGGCGACACACACGGCTGGGGACGCTCATGTTTCCTTTCCTTTGCTGGCTTGTCCTTTCGTCCTATCCCCTCCCCTTCCCCAGGCGTGAAGTGTTGCCAGATGGGGTGTTGTACACATCCAGGGAGTCCCCTTACTCGGTGTTCAAGGCAGCACGAATATACCGCATGTATCACATGCAGGAATGACACACTCGGTGCGAGAAGCTGCAAGAATGTACCGCATGGAGTGCGAGAAGGTGGCAACATGCTGAGCCACACATGCAGGCTCAGTCGTTCGTTCTGGTGCTTGCTGCCCTTCCTCCCATCTTGCAGGCGAGAGGTGTTGCCGGATGGGGTGTTGTACGCATCTCGGGAGTCCCATTACTCGGTGTTCAAAGCTGCGAGGATGTATCGCATGGAGTGCGAGAAGGTGGCGACGCACACGGCTGGCGACATTGACTGCCGGGATCTGGCTGCCAAGCTCGCCAAGCACAGAGGGCGACCAGCGATTCTGAATGTCAACATTGGTAGGTGCAGGTGTGCATTGGTTTGGCTATAATGAGTGTGATGGTAGTGAGGGGTTTGAGATTCAAGCACACATGGCTGGCGACATTGACTGCCGGGATCTGGCATCCAAGCTCGCCAAGCACAGAGGGCGACCCGCGATTCTCAATGTCAACATTGGTGAGTGTCATAGCCTTGTAGGGGGTAGATGTGTGTGACGTGACTATAATGAGGGTGGTAGTATTGAGAGGGTGGAGACAAACGCACACACAAGCAGACACACACGGCAGGCGACATAGACTGGAGGGATCTGGCTGCGAAGCTGGCCACACAATGGCGACCCGCGATTCTTAATGGCAACGTTGGTGGGTGTTAGCACTACATGAGGGGTAGAGTATAGTGAATGTGATAATAGTGGGGGGTAGGGGGGCGGGGACACAAGTGCACCCACAGCAAGCGACTCAGACTGTTTTGATCTGACCCGTATGTTTTTCTCTCCCCCCTCCTTTTCACTCTTCTATTGTGCCCCAGGCACCTCTGTGAAAGGGGCTGTGGACGAGATAGAACTGGTGATCAAGACCCTGCACGAGGCAGGTCACTCAAGCAATAGCTGCATGTTTTCCCCTCCTCCCCTCATCTCCTCCCTCCTCCCGCCCACCCCCAGGCACCACTGTGAAGGGTGCAGTGGACGATCTAGACCTAGTCATTAAGACGCTCCACGAGGCAGGCTTGTCAGACGATCAGTTCTACATCCACTGCGACGGGGCTCTGTTTGGGCTCATGCTGCCATTTGTCAAGAAGGTATGCTGACACGTGTGTGTGTGTGTAGCCCATCAGTGCGGGTCTGTCAGACGATCCGACGATCCGACGATCAGACGATCGGGCGGTCAGACGATCAGTTCTACATCCACTGCGACAGGGCTCTCTTTGGACTCATGCTGCCATGTTTCTGATACGTTTTGGAGAGAATTTAATGGCTATTTGTGCTGTTTTTTCTTTCTTTCTTTCCAGAATGCTTCCGGTACGTATTCATCTAAGTCTCGGGTCACAAGTTCATCAGCTGTCCCCACCGATGCCCTGTGGCGTGCGGATCACTGCATGCCTTGACCCTCACCCCATCCTTCTTCCTCCTCCTTCCCTCAACCCTACTTGTTCTTCCCTTACCTCCCCTAGGCGCCCCGAGTACCGTTCAAGAAACCAATCGGCTGCCCCATGCCCTGCGGGGTGCGGATCACTGCATGCCACTGCATGCCTCGACCCTCACCCCATCCTTCTTCCTTCTCCTTCCCTCAACCCTTCTTGTCCCTCCCTTACCTCCCCTAGGCGCCGCGAGTCACATTCCAGAAGCCCATCGGCAGCGTGTCAGTGTCGGGCCACAAGTTTGTCGGGTGCCCCATGCCCTGTGGCGTGCAGATCACTTCTCGCTTCACTCCTCTACCCATCTCTCACTTCTCGCTTCACTCCTCTACCCATCTCTCACTTCTCGCTTCACTCCTCTACCCATCTCTCACTTCTCGCCTCATCCCATCTTCTCCCTCTACCTCTCCTCCCTTACCCCCTCCCTCCCCTCCCCCAGGCCCCCCGAGTGACCTTCAAGAAGCCCATCGGCAGCGTGTCAGTGTCGGGCCACAAGTTGGTGGGCTGCCCCATGCCCTGTGGCGTGCAGATCACCTCTTCTCCCTCTGCTTGCGACCCTCACACCCCAACTTCTTCCTTCATTCCCCCCTCCCCCCCACCCCATCCCCCTTCCCCTGCCCCCTTCCAGGCCCCCCGAGTAACGTTCAAGAAGCCCATCGGCAGTGTGTCAGTGTCGGGTCACAAGTTCGTTGGCTGCCCCATGCCCTGCGGGGTGCAGATCACACGGCGCCACTTCGTCTCCTCCCTCTCCTCCGACATCGAGTACCTCGCCTCCCGAGACGCCACCATCATGGGGTCCCGCAACGGCCACGCCCCCATCTTCCTCTGGTATACCCTCAACAAAAAGGGTTACCGCGGATTCCGGAAGGACGTACAGCGCTGTTTAAGAAACGCGCTGTATCTGCACGCGCGGCTGCGGGCGGCAGGGTTTGGAGCGATGCTGAACACGCTCAGCAGCACGGTGGTGTTTGAGCGACCAGAGGAGGAGGGGTTTGTGCGGCGGTGGCAGCTGGCGTGCCAAGGGAAGGTGGCGCATGCGGTGGTGATGCCGAGTGTGTCGCACGATAAGATCGACTCGTTTGTGGAGGAGTTTGTGGCGAGCAGGGAGAGGTGCCGACGGGCTCGAGTTGCTGCTGCTGGTGGTGCTGCTGCTGCTGGCGCTGCTAACGCTCCTGCTGGTGTGTCTGGTGGTGGTGGTGCTGCTGCTGCAAATGGTTCGGCTGCAACCAGCACAGATGCTCTAATCAGCGATGTGTGTGTGGCGGATGTGCTGGGACCAGAGAACTGCTCGTGTGCCGACCACATTGCCATCTGGCGCACTCGAGTGGAGCAGAACGCTGAGAGGAGGCGGTATAGCTGCTACAGTGATGCATCGGGGGATGACTCCTCCTCACACGGTGGCAGCGCTGTGCAGAGGCTGCTGCAGTGATTGGATCCTGGCTAGTGGGTGTAGGCTGTAGTGTAGGGCTTCCTGGTGGTGATCTAACCAGGTTGGACAAGCCAGGCTGGACAAACCAGCACTGGCATTGAGTCCCCTGTAGCCTGGGACTCATTACTAGGGTACAATATGCGTCAAAGTGTCCCAGACAATGCTGTGGGCTTGTCTGAGAGCAGAGCACTGTTGTGAGATGAGATGACTGACAATTCAAGAAAGAGAAGTTGTAAGTTGTAACATACCTAGGGTTCTAGGGAAGAGGTGTGCCTCTAAAGGTCCAAGTCAACGCTATGGGCTCAGGCCTGGTCTCTTTATCGTTCACTGTTACGAGATGATTGCGACAAACCAAAAAAGATGTGTACAATGTGTACTCTGCCTAGGGTTCTAGGGAAGACGGCGCGCTAGGAATGGGAGGGTTCGCTACAACTTGTCAACTACCATACCTAGGCTGGTGCCTTTTTTTAGTCGACTCAAAAATCACCTGGGTGCATTCGCTACAACTACCATACCTAGGCTGGTGCCACTCAAGGGTACTTTCCCTCAAAGCCCTTCTCTGACAGTTTTTTAGGCGCCTGAAAGATCACCTCTGACAGTGAATCCTCTAGGGTCTTGATATCAGAATAATTGAATAATAGTAAAGTGAGAGTACACACAAATATATCTAAGTTTTGTAACCTCTAAGAGGTGACTCTATACAGTCTATACAAACATGACAAATACACATGTTTGACACACCCCCTAGACTGCATAGGGGAATACCCTAAACAAGCAGCTCAGGGCGGCACTACTAGTCCAACCTCTGAGGCAAGGGTCTGAGCGACCGGTCAGAAGGAGTACAGACAAGGCAAGCACAAGAGCAGGGCGGCACTACTAGTCCAGCCACTGGGAGAGGACACAAGTCCAGTCTGAGTATACATATAAAGGACAGTACAAAGTCAAGGTCCTAGCAAGTGATAGGCTACAGGAACTAGACCAAGCTGTACACAGTGCCGCTGATGATCTTTAGGCGCAAGCGCCTTCGTAAAGATATCAGCCGTGTTGGCACCTGAGGCCAAGTGTACTACGCGAGCCTGACGTCGCTGCTGTAGCTCACGCAGGAGGAAGTACCGCAGCTGAATGTGCTTCGCTCTGCCCTCGAGTCGAGGCTCCTGACACAGGAGGATCATGGCCCTGTTGTCAGCGTACAGGACCGGGGCAGAGCTAGGCCGCTCACCTAAGTCAGTGAGCAAGAAGGTCAGCCAGCGGAGCTCCTGTGCCGCCATGGCACCGGCATAGATCTCAGCCTCACAGCTGGACTGTGCAACAGACGAGGAGCGAGTAGCTCTCTACGAGACGGCACCTGAGCCAAGGCTGAAGCAGTAGCCCTGGGTAGACCGGAGTGTCTCAGCGTCGTCTGCCCACGAAGCGTCTGTGTGCCCAGTAAGGACCGCTGGCCTGCGTCCTCCTAGCACTAACCCCATGCCCGATGTACTAGCAAGATAACGCAGAACCCTCTTAGCGGCAGACCAGTGCTGCGGTCGGTGTCTGCCTGTGGCCACAAAGCGAGCCAGGATGCTGAGAGGGTATGCGAGATCTGGGCGAGTGCAAGTCATCAGGTACATGAGGCAACCCACCAGCTCTGCGTAGGGGCCGCTGGGCTCTACCAACTCCTCAGGCACTGGAGCGGAGAGCCTGTGGTCTACAGGCAGAGGGGTGGGCTGTGCAGAGGAGAACTGAAGGCTGAACCTCTGAAGGACCTGGCGCACCAAGTGTGACTGAGTCAGGGTGATGGTGCGCGCAGCTCTGTCCCTGGAGATCTGCAAGCCAAGGTAACGGCACAGTTCTCCAAGGTCAGTGCAGGTGTGTCTCTTCAGCAGCTCTGCCTTCACGGAGGCCAGCGCGTCCCTGTCTGCTGTGGCAAAGACCAGGTCGTCGACGTAAACGAGGATGTAGAACGGAGTCTGGCCAGCACGAACGAAGAGTGAAGGGTCTGCGGAAGACGGAAACAACTGCAGGTCAGCAAGCGTAGCACGCAGAGTGTCGTGCCACTCACGGGGAGCTTGGCGCAGGCCGTAGACGGGGCGCCGCAGGAGCCACTGGGTCCCAGGAGGGAAGGTGCCAGTAAAGCCCGGAGGGCGGCGCAGGTAGACCTGCTCGTGTAGGCTGCCCTGAAGGAAGGCAGTGGAGAAGTCGAGGGAGTGAAGCTCGTAGTCACGCTGAGCAGCTAGGTGTAACAGAACCCGAAGAGTAGTCATCTTCGGGGTCGGAGCGAAAGTCTGGAAGAAGTCCACCCCCTCGCGCTGACTGAAGCCTCTAGCCACATAGCGCGCCTTGAAGACAGGCGGCTCTCCAGGAGGGCGCTTCACCTTGAAGAGCCAGCGGCCATCGACTATGTTCACCCCAGGTGGGGGAACTGCGTCGACGAAGGTGCCGGTGGATCTCCAAGATGCCATCTCCTGCTCCATGGCAGCTATCCACTGCGAGGCCCAGGGTCCCGAAGTCGCCTCAGCGTAAGTGCGAGGGGTCGGGATGTCGAAAGCGTCAGGGTCACCCTCAGGGACTAGCAGCATGGAACAGAGATGGGGAGCAGCCTCAGAGAGGAAAGCAAGCTCGAACTGGCGGTCCTCCAGGACGTCACTGCCAAGGGCAGGAGCACCCCCGACAGACGGAGGACAGGCAGGGTCAGAGACCAGAGTGGTGGCGTAGTCAAGGCGGCGGGTAGAGGCGAAGTCAGCGACAGCAGCGACAAGAGCGTCAAGGCACGAGACTGGAACAGACGGGTCGGTAACGAGAGAGGCAAGGACCCGAGGAACGAGAGGACGAGCGGCACGAAGGTAGGCGGACAGCGGGGGGGGCGCAACAACAAGGGAGGACGGAGGAGGCGACGGCAGAAGGGGAGGACGAGACGCGTGTGAACGAAGCAACATAGGGTGGGAGCGCAGGACAGGCGCGGCAGGACGAGCACGGGAGGGACGGTGAGACCAGACGTGCGATGGAGGAGTCGGGTCAGGAGACAGGGGAGGGGACACAAGAGGGGAACGAGGGGGGAGACGGGCCGGGGACGAGTCCGGCGGAGGGAAAACAGGGCCGTAGACAGGAAGAGGAGGAGACGGTCGGGGAGGAACCGACGCAGGGTCGGGGGACGGAAGGCCGAGCAGGCGAAGGGCGGACACCGGCGGGGACTGCTGCTGCGGCGGCACAACGGCGACACCTGGACCGCAAGTGGCTCCTCGGCTACCACCGGCACTCTCCACACCCGCACCCCCAGAGGGACCACCCTCAGGGCGACCGGGACGAGCACCCCCAGAGTCAGCGACCGGGGGCTGCGACGGCGGCGGCGGCGGCGGCGGCGACAGCGACGGCTGCAGTGGCGGCAGAGGAGGGGACTGGGGAGGGGACACCTGGGGAGGGGCGGCCGGCGAGGACTGCACCGAAGGGCCACCAGAATCAGAAGACTCCTCAACCGGGTCCACGGACGGAAGGGGGGTGACATGGGAGACACCAGAGGGGGCGGGACGGGGAGGAGGAGGAGGAGGGGCAGGGACTACCGGGGAAGGGGTGACCAGGAACAGGGGGGGGGTAACCGGGGGACCACGGTGGGGGAAGCGGCGGTAGTAGGAGACACACTCGTCAAAGGTGACGTCACGAGAGTGAAAGAAGCGGTGAGACGGCGGGTGGTAAAAGTGCCAGTCGGACGCGTCAAGGGGAAAACCGAGGAAGACGCAGGGAAGGGTGCGGGCAGTGAGCTTGTCCGTGCCGGAGGCACGGACGTGAGCAAGGCAGCCCCAGACGTGGAACGCAGACGCGTCACCAGGAGACCCAGTCCACAGACGGGTCGGCGAAACCTGCGGCTGCTGAGGGTGCGGCCACAAGTTAAGCTGGTGAGAAGCGTAGCGCACAGCGAACGGCCACAGAAAATGGGGTGCACCGGCATGGACCATGGAGGTGCGAGCGACCTCCATGACCAAGCCGATGCGTCGCTCAGCGACCCCATTCTGCTGTGGGGAGTCCGGTAGGGTGAACGTCTGGGTGATGCCCTCCGCACGACAAAAGCGACCAAGGACACCTGAGGCAAACTCGCCACCACGGTCTGAGTGAAGACGCAAGACAGGGAGACCGCGGTGGACATGCGCAGAGACAAGCCAGGGGATGAGGGCGCCAGGCACGTCGGCCTTGCGCTCCAGGGGAAAGACTGTGGTGTAACGAGTGAAGTCATCGACAAGCACAAGGAAGTAGCGCTCGCGACGCGGCCCAGGGACGGGGGCGGGGCCCCAGACGTCCTGGTGCAGGGTCTGCAGCGGCGCGGCGGTAGGGGGGAACGAGGAGGAGTGAGGGGCACGGCGAAGCCGACCCTCGACACAAGGCGTGCAAGGTGGAGCTGGGGAGGAGGGAAACGCGGGGAGTGAACCTGGGAGACCAAGGACAAGACCGTGCTGGGACATGTGACGCAGACGCGGGAGCGCAGGGTGACCTAGGCGGTGGTGCCACAGGAGGGTCGGGTGAGTGAGGGAGCGACAGGAGCAGGCAGCAGCAACCTGGGTAGACACAGCCACCTGAGGGGGCGCTCCAGCCGGGGGGGGCACGGTGTCCAGAGTGAACAGGCCGGACACCGGGTCCCGGGGGAACGTGGACAGGGGGGCACCAGTGGTGGCCTCGGTACAGATAGCATACCGCTCGTGACCAGGGAACGTAGTGGTGACGCCAAGGTCCTGGAGGCAGCCGACACCAACTAGGTTCCTGGAGAACGAGGGGATATGCAGACCTGTAAGAGAGCCCGAAGGAACCGCCGGACAGGGAAGGGTGGTGGAACTGCGGGCGACTACCGGACCGCCGGAGGGGTCAGCAAGAGAAACGGCAGCAGGAACAGGAAGCGGCGTCAGGGTGGTGGAGTCGCGGAAGAAACACCGAGAGGCGCCAGAGTCCAAGGTGAAGGAAAGCGAAGCCGAGGGGTCTGGCGACGGAATGACGGCAGAAGCACCAAGACTACACAAAGCAGGGGATCCTACGCCTGACGCAGCAGGGGAGGCGAAGCTAGGCACACCTACACTAGGCAACAGTGAGTAATAAGTCGGAAGCACACTAGAGTCATCAGCATACATCACATGCAGAGCAGAAACAATGGCATCCATGTCCATATCAAAGATCTGAATCTGACGACTAAGCAAACTGTGCCAGTCCGGGAGGTCTGGCGACGGGCCGAAACGCTGACGAAAGAGGTCGTCCAGGCGACGAAAGCAGCGGGGAGTGGAGTGACCGATCTTACCGCAGCAAAGCCGCGGCGAGG